TGTAAGTGTTCTTTACACATTCCGGTTGCAGTGTTAGACTCTCAGTAGGCCAAGGCTTGCAAATAACTTCTCCCGCTTCATGGGTTGTCTTTTCGCTTTCTCGATACTGTCCGAGGAGCACAAAAACTTACAAATTAAAAAAAGTGTTGACACCATTTCAGATGGCCCCGCCCGCCCCACCCCTCCCCTCCCCCGGCCGTCCCCGCGCTGTTGCCCGCGTGCACGGGCAACACGTGTCCACGTGCACACGTGCTTTGTGCCCATCCCTTCTCCTCCTTTCTGTCAGTCCCCGCCCCCCGACAGCTGCCAGTCTGTCCCGCGTGCCCGCGCCTCTGGCTCTGCTTTGTTCCCTGGTGGACTTTGTTCATTAGATTCCACACGTGAGCGAGATCACGTGCGGTGTGTCTCTCTGCCACTGGCTTGGCTCAGCACAACGTCCTCCGGGTCCACCCACGCTGTCGCAGAGGGTGGGGTTCCCTTCTGTCTACAGCCGTGACGTGGTCTGTCGTGTGCGTGTGAGAAGTGCACACGCCCAGTGGAATGAGCTCCTCTGCGGACGGGCGCCCGGCCACAGTGAACCCAAGGCGCATGCATTCTTCCTGGTTGGTGCTGCGGGGTTCCCAGGGGCTGGAAGCCCCTCACCGTTTTCCGCAGGGGCTGCACCAGCCCGCACTCCACCAACGGCGCACGAGGGCTCCCTTCTGCCCAGGTCCTCGCCGGCGCTGACGGTGGTGGCCCTTCTGGCAGGTGTGACGTGGCGCCTCGCTGGGGTTTTCACCTGCGTCTCCCGGAGGACCAGTGAGGCTGAGCGTTTTTTCCTACATCTGTGGGCCCGCCCTCCGTACGTCCTCCTGGGAGGAGTGTCTGTTCGGGTCCTTTGCCCATTTTCTAATCGGATCGTTTGTCTTCCTGGCGCTGAGTCGCAGTTCTTTCTCTGCTTGGAGAACCAGCCCCTTATCAGACGTGCCCAGACCTTGCACGCGGGACGTCTCACCCTCGGAACAGAGACAGGCGGGCAGCCCCACGCTCCTCCCCTCGGCCAGACCGCCGGGTGGTGTTCGCTGCGCCTCTCAGCCCGTCCAGTGCCCAGAGGTTTCGTTCTCTGAGGGCGGCCCTCCGCCCCCTCTCTCTCTTCCCCCTGCGCTCTAATCACGGCGCTGCCGCCTGCGTGCGTGGGTGGGTGGCTCTCGGCTCGTCCGCTGTGGTCAGCTGGGGGGTGCGGGGGTTGGGTTTCCCGCCTTTCCCGGTGGGACGGGACACGGTCGGCCTCAGAACCCGCCGTTCTCCGGAGGGGAGTGGAGCCCTGCCCTCCTGGTGTCCCCAGCCGCCTGGGCTGGGTGCCTGCGGGACCTGCCTCCTGCTCCCAGCCCTGTCCCCTGACCGCTGACCCCCGTGGGCAAGGGGCTGGGTCAGGTACCGGGTCCCCTACCCAGCTCAGCTGCGACCCGACCCCAAGGGTCGACCCCGAAGGTCACAGGGAGCCAGTTGGTGTTTGGGGTGGTGGAGGCAGAAGCCAGAGCACAGGACCCAGCAAAGGGGGGCAGGAGGGCCCGCCAGGCTGCTGTCTGCTCGCGCAGGGCCCTGGGGTGGGCGGGGGCAGGGATGAGCTGCTGGTCTCCTAAAGGGGCTTGAGGGAGGTGCGGGGCCCTGCCCTCAGTAAGGGGGGCAGTGGGGTGTCCTGGGCACCGCAAGGCGCCTCCGCCCCAGCCTGTGCCCCCACGGGGGCTGCCCCGTCCCACCTGCCCAGGTCAGGCCCCAGCCCTGGCACCTTCGCCCTCCCTGCAGCCTGCAGTGGCCGGCTCCCCGGCTCCCCCACAGTCAGGACCCCCTGATGTCAGGGGCTCTCCACGTCTGCAGGGCGCCCCAGAAGCAGACCCCAAGTGCACACTGTGGGGAGCGAGAGGGGAGTGTGGGGAAGACAGCCACGTGGCCGGAGCCCCACCTGCAGGGGGCTGTGGGGGATGGGTTTGCAGTGACCCCCAGGAGCCAGGCTGCTGGAGGCAGGGGCTTCTTCCGCTGGGGGGGCGGCTCCCAGGGTCTGCTGAGGCTGACCTGCTACTGGCCAGGGTCCTAATGTTGGTTATTTTATGGTTAATTCTAGAATTCCCACTGGACTGTTTTGTTTTTGTTTTTTTTTTTTCATAAGCTCTAGGCCTCTGGTAAAACCCCCCAACTTGTCATTTACTTGTGGCATGTTTAATTCTAATTATTTAAAAACCCACGTCTGACAGCCCTGATATCAAGGTCACCTGTGAGTGTGCTGCTTTGACCTTGCTCTCGAGTTTCTCTCTCCGTCATGGTTTCCCGTCTCCGGGCCGGCCTGGCCGTGCCAGCGGAGTGTGGGGCCTGGCGTGTGGAAACAGTGCAGGGTGGGGGCAGGCTCGCCTCCAGTCGGCTGCGGTGAAGGTCCCCCCAGGGCCTCCGCCAAGAGCCTGGGCCGCTTCCCGGCCCTTCTCCTCGGTGCCAGAGCCCCAGCGCCAACCGACAGCTACGTGCCCCTCAGCCTTTCAGCCGCCACTCTCTGCCGGGCTTCTCACCCCTCTCCCCAAACCGCTGAGAGGTGGCCGGAGCTCAGATGGGTGGGCGGGCGCCTTCGACACCCTCTCCTATCCCCCAGGCCCACGAGAGCCTCCAGGCCCAGCACCGCCCACGCCAGCACGTTCTCCCAAGGAGCCGAGTGCAGGCTCCTGGCAGCGCGGCCCCTCGTGCGCGGCGCCGGCCCCATGTCCTGGCTGCCTCTGCCGCTCGGGACCCTTTAAGCAGCTGTTTTTCCATCTAGCTCTTAGAGTTGTATGGTTGTTAAAAAAGTAATCTTTATTTAAAAAATTTTTATTGATTGATTTTTGAGAGGGAGGGACATCCATGTGCTGTTCCACCCATGGGTGCACCACGGGGTGCTTCTCATGGGTGCCCTGCCCGGGGGCCCAGCCCGCAACCTCGGCCTAGACCTGCCGCGGGAAGTCGGCCCGCACAGCTGACGTGTCCGTAGGGCCCTGCTCCCGCCCCGGCTGCGGCGGACCTCTGGCTTCTGCAAGGCTGGGTGGAGCCCTGGGAAGGGAAAAGGGAAGGACTGGCCCCTGGGCCTGACTCTTGGGACTTGCTGGGTCTGTGTCTGTCACCTTCTTGTCACATGCGTGTCATCTGCCAGCACGGGGCTTCCCCTCCCGTGAGCAGCAAAGGCTGGCTCCCGGGGCGCGGCTGTGGCCAGAGCTGGTGATGCGCTGAGGGAAACTGGTGATGAAATGCAGACCTCGGAAGGCACAGGGGCAGCTGGAGTCCCACAGCCCAGCCCTGGGGGGACAGGGCCGCCATGCTCATGGAGACCCTGGCCCAAGGCCTGGACAGTGGGGTGGGGGTCCACGAGGAGGTCGGAGGGAATGCGGGCTGACATCCTGCAAGTGGTTCCAGCCCCAGCCGGCCTGGACCTGCTGAGTCCAGGGCTTCAGAGGGCTGCAGGGCCCTTGGTGGGGGACGGGGTGGTGGGTTGGGGACGCCTCTGCCCCCCCACACCCAGCTTTCCTCTTCTCACCCCCCGGAGGCGGCATCTGCACCCACACCCCCAAGCCCCAGGCTCCTGCCCAGCCCGGAAACCCGCTGCCCTGGGCCCCAGGCCCACAGGACCTGCTGGGCTCTCCCTGGAGTCTCCGCCGCATTCTGCACGGCCCTCCCCCCGGCCACCTCCTGTGTCCCCTGAAGAACACAGCAAAGCCCATCACGGTTCCCACGGCTTCCTCGTTTACCCTGAACCTCGGGCAGACAAGAAACGAGGCCCAGGCACGGCGCGCGGAGGCCGCTGCTGCGACGGGACAGCGCAGGCGTGGGCGTGTGCAAGCCCAGGGCCGTGCCCTCACCGCGGTCATTCGGCCGCGCTCGCTGGTCAGCAGAGCCCGTGTTCAGGCCGCGGCTCCGTGCAGACCGGTCGTCCCGCGCGGCCACGCTGCTGCCATCTGGCGGCCGCTGGGAACACTGCCGCCACCGCGAATGGGGCTGTGCAACTACCCTCCACGCGCCTGCTTTCAGTTCTCTGGGATAAATACTCGGAAGTGGGGGTCCGGACCACATGGCAGTTCTGTTTTGTGTTTTTGAAGAACTCCATACTGCTCTCCGCAGTGGCCGCACCATTTCCATCCCCCCCGGCAGGGCCCAGGCTCCCTTTTCTGCAGGGCGCGCCAGCGCGGCTGTCCTGCGTTTCCTGACAGCCGCCGGCCCCGGGGTCCGAGGGGTCTCCCGCTGCGGCCTCGGTGGGCGTCTCCCTGCCGACCAAGGAGGTGGTGCCTGCTTCCATCTGCTTCTCGGCGTCTGCGAGTCTTCTCTGGATACCTGTCTACCCAAGTCCTGTCAGCCTGTTCGTTCTTTTTGTTTTTTCAATTACAGCTCACACCCAATAGCACTTTGTATCAGTTTTAACATGTACAGCACTGTTTATTCTCGCACCACTATTTTCCTCCTTGACTTTAGGCCTGGTTCACGTGGTTATACAAACACCCTGTACCTCCTTCATTGGGCTGCATTTGGTGTGGGTCAGTTGGGGGAGGAGGGCAGCCCCAGCCCTCCTTGGCCGCCCCTGCAGGTTTCTGACTCTGTCTACCCACCCCCGCCCCCCCATGGCTCCAAGTACCACCCATACCTGCTCCCCTAGCTCTGTGCCAAACTCCCAAATGCTATGGGGCGGCTCACTAAATGTCCTCGGTTCTCTCCATCCCTCCGGGTCAAGCTCGGGACCCCTGACCTCTGCACACTTGCTTGCCTGTCCCCCACTGACAGCAGGGGGTCCAGGTGGCCACGGGGCACCATCCTCACCCCTCCCTCACCTGGGAGGAAAGCTGGTGAAAGATGCAAAGAGAAAGATGCAAAGAGAAAGATGCAAAGAGAAAGAAGGACTTTTTTAGATGTGGGTAAGGGGTCAGAGAAGCCAGCAGGTGGTGGAACTCCTGAGAAGGTGGAGAATAGGGCCTGTGCAGGGTGGGGGGGGGTAGGCAGAGGGGGGGTGGAGCGGGCAATCCCCAGCTTCTGGGCCAGAGGCCACACTCACCGGAAAGCCAGTGAGGGTGGAGGGTGGGGCTCGGGGCCACTGACGCAGTTCTTGGGCCTGGGGAGCGATCCAGCAATACCCAGTCCGACCCCCGTCCCTGTCCTGGCCTCTCCCATCACAGCTCAGGGCTTCTGGCTGGACTCCTGGTGCTTCCCCGGGACCCAAGCTCCCAGAGCTCTCTCCGACTAGGCCCCGAGCAGGCCTCGGCCGGCTCCAAGCTCTCCTGCGGCGCCACACAGTCCTTGGAATGAAGTCCACACTCCTAGATCACCTGGTACAGGCCCCTCCCCGTCCCGCCACCTCCACCCCTGCGCCCCCAGCGCTCGGGGTTCCCGCCACCAGTCCCGCCCACTGCCCGGCGCGCTGCAGGCCCTCTCCCAACCTCCAGGCGGCCACTGCAGGTGGGTATCCCCACTCCAGGGTGCTCCCCCCCGGGCCAGGGCCTCGTCCCAGGGCACGGCCGGGGACGCCCGGCGGATCGTGAAGTGTGGCCGGGACTCGGCGGGCGGCCGGCCGGGCGCAGGGCAGGGCGGAGACTGCCGTTCGGTCTCCCGGGCCAGCGCCCCCGGCCCTAGACCCTCGCCGCCCAACCCCGCGCCTCTACCAGGCCTTCCCCACCGGCGGGGCGTCCCTTGGCCGGGCGTCTCCCACGGCATCCCGCCCCCAGCGGTCACCCCCTCCCCGCGCCTGCCTGGAGGACTCACCCCGGGAACGGCGAGCACCTGCGGGACCCCAACCAACCGCGCCCCTCGACAGGGTCGGGCCCACCGGCGACGCGAAGGTAGGACCATGTCATCGCCCTAGAACCCCAGCTCCGAGCCCCCAGTCCAGCCTGGGACGCCCGGGCCGGGGGTGGGGGGTGGCGCGGGAGAAAGGGTCCGGGCGGGGCCGCCCCAGGGGTCCGGCCTCCTTTCCTCTCCACCCTCCTTTGGCCCGCGGCACCAAAGGTTAGGGGCCAGGGGCACGGCCCGGGGCCCGGACGCGGGGCTGCTGGACACCAGGGGTCCCTCCGGCGCGCGGGGGCGGGTTCCAGCCCAGGAACCGGCGGGCGCAGGCAGGTCTGCGGGCGGGAGAGAGGGGCCGGCTGCCGCGCCGGGGGCGGAGGCCGCGCTCACCTGGCGCCGGGCCCGCCCTAACCTGAATTTCCGGGGGCGGGGCCAGACCGGGGGCGGGACGGGGGCGGGGCCGACCGCGAGGGCGGGGCGGACGGGCGGGAGCCCGCAGACGTCAGGGACCCGCGGCGGGAGGCCGCCGCTCTGCCCCGGGCTCGGCCGGGGCTCCGCGCGCGTGCGGGCCGCGCCGGGCAGGTCCTAGGCGGCGGCCCGGCCCAGCGCTCGCCGGCCGGACGGGAGGGCCCGGGCTGAGGCGCAGGTAAGACGCCCGTCCTCGCCCGCAGCAGCCGGGCCTCCGTCGCCCGCACCTGTGCGCCTGCGGGGCCGCGCGGGCAGGGGGCCTGGGCGGGGAGTGGGGTCCCTGCGCGGCCGGACAAAGGCCCGGGGTGGCGGGCGACCGGCGTACCTGGGCAGGCCGAGCCCCGCGCCGCGGAGTCGGCCCAGGTCCGCGCCAGGCTGGGCGGGGCCGCGGGGCGCGCATCTACGCGGCCTGGGAGGGGGCGCGGGCCCGGCTCCGGCGCGGCCGAGGCCGCCGGGGCGAGCGCTGATTCAGGGGCAGGCGCGCTCCCTCCCCCTCCGGCCCCGCTGGCTCCGGCCGCCTCCCGGCCTGGTCTCTCGGCTCCCGCGGTCCCTCCCTCCGGGTCCCTCCTCTTCCTCCCAGTCTCCCGATTCCCTGCGCCGCCGCCGCCGCCGCCGCCGCCGCGGTCCCCGGCCTCCGTTCCGGCTGCTCCTTTCAGCCACCCGCCCGGCCCCGCCCGGCCCCGGCTCCATCCCTTCCCTTTCCCAGTCCCGCGGCTTCCAGAGCCGGCTCCCACCTCCCGGCGGGTGGTTCTCGCGGCTGGGGGGCGAGGGGACGAGTTTGGGGTGTTGATTATTCTCCCTCCTAGCAACGATGGCTGCCCAGCCCCGGCCCCGCGGCCGGCTGTCAGGGAGTCCCTGTGGCTCCCAGGCCTGGGCCTTTCAGGACCGGCCGGCCGTGGTAGGGCGCCCTCGCTTTCGGGCAGCGTGACCGGGCTCCAGGGGTTTGTCCCTTTGCCTGAGGCTTTGGGTGGGGTCTCCCTGCCCGCGCCTGTCGGGAGCTGTGGCAGGTGATGGCCGAGTGCGGGCCCTAACTGGGAGTCGGGGCTGGACGGGGCTGGGGGCTGGGGCTGGGGCTGGAAAACACAGTGGTGGGTGGCGGCTTCCCAGGAGGGAGCCCTGTGGCCGCCGCTGAGGGGCCGTGGAGGCCCCGAGGGCCGCAGGGGTGTGGCAGGGCCTGCCCCTCCGTCTCCAGGGTCAGACCCCGAGTGGACCCGAGGAAGGGCGGGGGCCCAGGGCGAAGGGACTCTGACCAGGCAGAGCTGCCACCTTCTGGGTGGAGTTGTCTCCGTCTCCCCCCACCACCACCTGCCCCAGGTGACCTGAGGGCATGCATGGTCACATGGGCCCTCGCAGGTGGGTGGGCCTGGGGAGACCCCTACCTGGGGCCTGCTCCTGCCGCTCCCCTGGCTACTGGCTCGGCTCTCAGCGAGTCTCCTGCCTGAGCTCTGCCTGCTCTGCCCTAGGAGTCGGTCAGGATGTGGGACCCCAGGGCCGGTCTCACGGGGCCCCAGGTGTCCTGCCCTCAGACTGGGCCTCCAGGGACGCCCCTCTGGCTCTAGGGCCAGCCACGGACTCCCAGGGCTGCAGGGCCTGGCATCCGGCCGGGCTGCCCCCTTTGCCAGGAGCACCCCCCGCCAGGCTCACACCCCCCTTCTGCCCGCTCTGCACGGCTCAGATCCCGGCCTTCCCGACCACCCCCTCGAAGGGGCCCGTGCCTGTCACTCCTCCTCCTCGTCCTCTGAGGGAAGCCCCGGGTGCAGTTCACGTCACTGCATGTGCGTGTGCGTTCACGTCACTGCATGTGCGTGTGCGTGTGCATGTGGAGGAGAGTGGCCGGGACCCCCGTGGGTGGTGCCGGGGCGCGTGTGGGGCCGTGCGCACAGGCACGTGGCCCGGGCACGTCCAGGAGCCCGGAGCCCATGCACCGGTGCTGGGTGGTGGTGACGCAGCTTAGCCGCTGTCACAAGTGCACAGTGACGGCGCGTGGCCGGCGCTGCCCCAGGGCCTGGTCTCAGGTGACGCCAGCTCTTGTCCGGGTTCACGTGGCCGCTCAAGCCACCCTGCGGCCCCTGCTGTCCCGACCACCTCGGCCCTCAGGTCCTCCTTCGCCGGGGCCCCCCGGGCCTCGGGCACCAGAGCGCCGCTTCCGCCCTGGGCACTGGAGAGGCCGCCCTGGCCTGGGGGCCTCGGCGGGACAGTCACGGCGGCCACAGGGCAACGACCCGTCTCCTCTCCGTGGGGGCATATGGGTGGGCCAGGGGCACCTGTCTCCAGCTGCCCCCTGGCCCCTGTGCCCAGGTCCGTCTGGACTGTCCGGCTGGGGCAGCAGAGCCTCTGGCTCCGAGTGCGTGTCCGGGGCGGGTGTGGTGCCCTGGGCCTGGCCCTGCGGGGACCCTGGCTGTGGGAGCTGCCCCCGCCAGGTCCCGGGGACGCAGGCAGGCCCAGGCGCAGGCGCCGTGGTCCCTGGCCCCACAGACTCCACCCCTCCTGCACTACGAGAGAGGAGAAGGGGCTGTGGGGGCACCCAGCGCTGGGGGGACCCGGGCACCTTAGCCGGGGAGGGCCCGAGTGGGACAGACACACTCAGGGGAGGACAGGTGGTGGGTGGCCGGGTGCAGCTGGAGCCCAGTGTTTCCGGAAGATGCTGCAGGGGGGTGGGGTGGGGGAGGGGTGGGGTGGAACCTCAGGGGGTGGGGCCCGGGCCGGGCTGGGCAGGGTAGCCGCTCTGACCGCCCCTTCTCCCCCAGGCCTGCCGGGCCTCCCCGGCGCCAAGATGAGCGTCACCTCCTGGTTCCTGGTGAGCAGCAGCGGCACCCGCCACCGGCTGCCGCGGGAGCTCATCTTCGTGGGCCGCGATGAGTGTGAGCTCATGCTACAGGTGAGCGCGGCACCTCCGGGGCTGGGAGGGCGGGGGAGGGCCGGGCGGGGCCGGGACCACCCGTTAGCGGCCGGACACCAGCTGAGGAGGCCACACGGTCACCAGGGCCCACAGCGCCGTCACTGCGGCCTCGGGTGGGCGTGTGCAGGCCCCAGGGGGTGCTCCAGGTGCTCGGGCTTCCGGCAGGTTCTCGAGGCATGGGCGGGGGGGCACCTGTAAAGGTGTTGGAGAGGGGACCTGCCCATGTCCTCGCTGTGCGGGGGGCACCCCCTGGGCTGGGCCTCTGGCGGGAGCCACAGGGACGGCTCCGACTGTTGGGCCAGCCCAGGAGCTGGTGCCTCCTCGAGGTGCGGGGGGTGGGGGGTCTCAGGCACGAGAGGCCGACGCCTGGCAGTCAGCTGGGCACGAGGCTCTGGGCAATCAGAGCTTTCTCCCCGGCCCAGGTTCCGGAGCCCAGGGTCAGCCCCCATGGGGCTCATGGGTCTAACTGTTTGGGAGCAGGGTGGGCAGGGCGGGGGGCGGGGGCTGACGCCGTGGGGTGCGCCCTCGCCTGGACGTCCTTTTCTCTGCGGTCCTGGTGGTCTGAGCGGGCTTCCTGCAGCCCTGGCGGGCCTGTCGGGGCCCTGCGTGCGGGCACCTCGGGTACAGGGGCCTTGGGGGCCCCTCCTGCCGCCCTCCCCACTGCCGGCTCCACACACACAGGTCTGCACGTGCAGGGCGTGCAGACACACTGGGTGTGCACACATGCACACACACACCAGCGCGCACACGTGTGCGACACAGTGCACACGTGGTTGCACATGCGTGTGCGTGTGCCACTACGTGTGTGTGGCGGGGTGTCCTCTCGGCCCCTGCCCGCTCACGCCCTGCCTGGAAGCCACGCTGCCCCGGACCCGGCGCGCCCCACGGCCGGCCAGCGGCTGGGCTGGGCTGTGCCGGCTGAGCTGGCAGGAGGACGTGCCGGGCCCTGGCCTCCGACTGCCTCTGGCCACCGCGGCCCGGGCGGGGCTCTCCCCTCGGAGGGCGGCGGGCCAGGATTTTGGAAGCACATCTTTTTTCCGTTTTAAAGTGAGTACAGACAGACCCTTTAAAAAAACAAAACAAAAACCCATGTGTTGGGAGCGTGTTTTCACAGCTGCTCCTCTGGCGCCGCAGGCCCTCCCTGCGAGGCTGGGTTCGTGTCACCCATGGGTCCCCGGCCCAGGGGCCCAGAGCCAGAGGGAGGATTGGGGGCGGGGCTCCTCCCTGCCCTTTCCCCAGGAGCCCAGGTGCCGCCGAGGCCTGGGGAGCGGATGGGTGGGAGCTGGCCCCGGGGGACATGCCCTGGCCAGGCGTGGACGGGGCACCCCAGCTTTGGGTGCAAACTGAGGGGGGGTGCCATGCCCAGTCCAAGGTGGGTGGGTGCATCTTGCCCGGAGAAGGGAGGTGGGTGCGGGGAGAGGGGCGGGTCCTGGGCCCGGGACCTCCCGAGCCTGCGGAGGTGGCAGGCTGGCTGGGGCCGGGTGCGGACAGGGAGGCCTGGAGAGGCCTCAGGGCCTGTGGCTCGTGGGACGAGGCCTGACCTTTCCCCTCAGCAAGGCTCAGACGAGTGGCAGGCAGGGCCAGGTGGGGGCTGGGAGGACGGGAGAGCGGTGGCTGTGGGATGGAGGCGGGTGTCCAGGTGAGGAGGAGGGCAGGGGGGGGTACCGGTGCCTGGGCAGCGGGAGCTGGGCTGGCGCTGTCCCTGGAGGAAGGTGGGCGGTCAGGGGCCCGTGAGGGAGAGCGGGGTACAGCCGGGCAGGGCTTGAGCCGCCTGGGGGCTGGCAGGGCCGTGCAGGGAGCTGGGAGCCTCCGGCCTGGGGATGGGGGGCCTTCCCTCGGGCTGGAGAGGCTGCCCAGAGTCCCCTCCAGGGGCCTCCAGCGGCCTGCAGCCCATCCCTGCTCGCTGTGGGCCGTCCGCCTCCCACCCCGTCCTGGCTCGGAGGGACCTGCGGCCCCTTCGGTGCCCTTCTCGGCCGACATCCCTGCGAGGGCAGAGCCCGGCCCCCGGGCCTCGGGGCTCCCTTCCTCGAGACAGTGGGTCCCCCTGGCCCAGTGGCATCTGTGTGCCGGGCAGGGCTGAGGCAGGCGGCTGGCCTGTCCCTGGGAAGGGGTGAGCCCGGTCCTCTCGGCTGCCAGGCTGGACTCTAAGGACCCCCCGTCCTGATCCCAGGGCTGCCCAGAGGGGCAGTTGCCTGGCCCAAGGTGGGGCGATCCTGAGAGGTGCTGGTTCTGGTCAACTCCACCCCGAGGCTGGGTCCAGGGAAGCTCTCGCCCTGCCCTGCTGGCCAGGGACCGAGGCCGGGGGGGGAGGGTACAGGGCCACAGACGCACTGGGTGGGGAGGCCCAGGCCAAGGCCAGTGGGAGGGTCACGAGGGCCGGGTCCTGGGGGAGGCGACCGGCCAGCAGAGGGACGGAACGAGGAGTCCTGTGGAGGAGGCGGTGGTGGCACTTGGCGTCCAGGGGCAGGAGCTGCCTGGCCGTGGTTGCCGATGTAGACCGGGGATTCGGGACGGGGGCAGAGGTGAGGCCTGGGGGACGGGGCCGTGGGACTCAGGGCCACAGACCCGCTGCCTTGGGAGGCCAGCAGGTGGGCTCCAGCAGCTGCCCCGGGCTCAGGGGGGCCATTCTGGGGGGCGGCCCAGGGGGGCCTCTGTGTCCTCGGGGCCCGGCCGGCCCACAGAAGGTGCTCCGCTCTCTCGGTCACCCTGCTCCCTGCCCAGGGTCCCTGGCAGGGTGCCGTGTGGGCCCCGCACCCGCCTTTCTCCCTCCTCGGGCCTCCCCCAGCCTTCCCTCTGCGGCACCGGCGCTGCGGGTCGCGCCACCACCCGGGGGGGCCCCCAAATCCAGAACCGGCTGCAGTGCAGGGGCCGAGCTCAGGCCCAGGCCGCTGGGCTCTCCAGGGCGGGCCCGGCACCCCTGCCAGGCTGGGTGACCTTGGGAGGGTGCTGGGCCTCCCGGAAACTGGCCCTTGCAGGGCAGTGCCCCAGGGGCCGGGCAGGTGGAGCGGACGAGAGACGTGTCTCTGAGGGGCGGCCGGCCACCCAGGCGGGGCGGGTCCGGGCACACACACCTGTGAGAACTAGGCCTCGGGCTGCGGTGCCCCGGGACTCGGTGGGGGCGTGCGTCCCAGGCCGTGGGGAGCAAGTGCACCGCCCCCTCCCCATTCCTGTGTGTGCCGGGGAGGGGAGAGGGCTGGGTGTCTCCTGGGCTGGGCCCCGGCCTGTGGCTCCTCGGGTGGTGGGACGTGGTTGCCACCCCAGACACCGGGGCTCCAGCTGGGTGGCATGGCCTGGGGGCAGGCAGCTCCCTGCTGAGACCACCGGCCTCTCGGCTGGGTGAGGCCTGCAGCGCCTGGGCGAGGGGAAGTCACCCCAGGACCCTGTCCCTGCCTGTGTCCCCAGGCCCTGGGAGTGGAGGCTGGGGTGGCTTAGCTGTGGCCCCCCAGCTCGTCCGTGTGTGGGAGGTGGTGGCTGTCCCCGGGGTGGGGTCCCGGGGGACCGGAGGCCGGGGCCGGGTCAGCAGCGCTCAGGGCGGAGGCGCCTCGGCGTGTGTGTGCGTGTGTGCGTGGGAGCGGGGTGGCAGGCGTGCTCGGGGCGTGTGTGAGTCCTGTGCGGGAGTGTAGAGCTGGTAGGGTCTGAGACACGCCACCCACGCGGGTGCGCATGTGCCCATCACTTGGGGAGGTCGTGTGGGCCCCCGTGGGGCTGGCTGGGCGGACCGGGGAGGCCTCTCCCTGGGCCCCGCACCCCGGCCCCGTGATCCTCCACTGGGCTGCCCGACCGGCCTGCCTGGCGGCCCCACCCCTGCCCTGGGGCATGGACATGGCTCCCAGGTGCCCAGTGAGTTCCCAGCCCCTCCCACAGCCCAGCAGGAGCAGCCGCTGGGATGGGAGGGGCCCTGGCCCGGGCATCTGGGCAAACCCCCGCGGCCGGGTCAGCCTGGCCACGCTCTGCGGGACACCCCCCCCACCCCGCAGGTGTGCGTGCGTGGGCGTGGGCGCTTACGGCCTCCGAGTGCGGGGCGGTGCTGGTGTTCTGGTGGGGGGCGGTGGGGGCTCCTGCAGGACTCCCACTCCTGGGAAGGCCACCTGAGTGGCGCCTGCCCCCCCCCCCAGAGTCGCAGCGTGGACAAGCAGCATGCCGTCATCAACTACGACCGGGACCGGGACGAGCACTGGGTGAAGGACCTGGGCAGCCTGAACGGGGTGAGTGCGTCTGCCCGCCGCTCCTCTCCCCACGCCCCTCCCTCTGTGCCGGCCCCACCCTCTCCAGGACCACGCGCCTCAGCTGCGGCCCGCCTGGCCCCTCTGGGGCCTGCACCACCTCCAGGGCGGAGACCTCAGGGCCCCCCCGGGGAGGGTCGCCACTGGACAGGGCCCCCTCTGGGAGGGGCCACTCTCTGGTGGGGAGGGGCCGGCCCTTCGGGCGGGCAGGGGGGCACTGAGACCAGGTGCAGGCTGGGAAACGGGGGTCCCGAGATGCCGGGCTGGGCGGGGGCACCCTTTCCTGGGGGGTGTGGCCTCTTTTGTGAGTTGGGGTGGTGGGGCAGGGAGGGGACCAGGAGGAAGGCCCCGGCTGCTGGCGCTGGGTCGGGGTCAAGCGAAGGAGCCCGGGGTCCGGGTGGGCACTGGGCAGGAAGGGCAGGGTGGGCGGGGGCTCTGCAGGGCCCAGGGTCCGAGGTCTGTGCTGCACTGGCCTCGGTTTCGGTAAGGAGACAAGGCCACTGGCCTCCATGCACTTTTGGTGGGTCCAAGGAGGGGCCCTTTGCATCCCCCCGGTACCACCCTGAGCTGGGGTCCCGTGGGAGCCTCAGTCTGGCCCTGCCTCCACAGCTGCCCTGGGGGTCTGCCCCGGAGCCCCTTCCCCCTCCACCCTCCGAGTGGGCCGCGAGGAGGCTGGCACTGGCCGCCTGAGTGAGGGGGCTGCAGCAGGGCCTGGGGCTCCTCACCCCAAACCCCAGGGGCAGGCTCCTCGGAGGCCTGTGACGCCCACACAGCCGGGGCCCCTGCCCACCCGTCCAACCCTGGGCCCACGCCGGCAGGCAGGGCGCCCCGTAGCTGTCCCCACCCTGGGCCTGGGGGGCTGCGCGGGGCCAGCACGGGCGCCTGTGGACAGGAGAAAGGGTCTCCTTCACAACGGTGTCCAAGGCCTTTCAGTGCGAGGGGCTCCCTCAGTCCCCGGGCACTGGGTGAGGCCGGCCCTTGCACCCGCCCCGTCCTTCAGCCGCACCCGCCCCTTCCGGGCGCCAGGCGGGGTGCACGTGTGTCGGGCGGGGGACTGAGCCCGCCTGCCCCCCCGCAGACCTTCGTGAACGAGGTGCGCATCCCGGACCAGAAGTACGTCACGCTGAAGCTCAACGACGTCGTCCGCTTCGGCTACGATATCCTTTCCTCCGCCCCCAAGGCCACCATCGCCCCCGCCGGGAGCAGCTGGGGCCGCGGCGGTCACGGGGGGTTGGAGGGTGGCAGGGACGAACCCCAACTCCAGCCCCTGCAGTCCGCCAGCTGGCCTGAGCCACACGGCCCGGGAACAAGCGGGTCCCCCCCCCAGGACCCGGAGTCCCAGGCGGCCCCCCCACGGGCAGCTGGGGCCGAGTGCCCGACAGGAGAGCATGCTGTCCTCAGCCGCATGCGAACTGGCAGGCTGGCTGGGGCCCTCTTGGGTGGCCAGGGCTGGCGCGTGGTCTGGGATGGCTGGGTGGCTGTGGCGTGTCCTCTGGGGCTCCGTCTGGCCTGCCTGCCATGCCCTGGGCTGAGTGGTGGGTGGAGGGGGCGCCCTGAGCCCCGGGCGTGTACATGCAGTGACCTGGAGGGACTCTGCCCCCCACCCCCCACCTGGCAGGGGCAGTGAGGACATTCGACCAGCACGCGGGCGGCTGTGCGTGCAGGTGTCCACACTTGGGGGACCGCACCGTCCTTGCACATGTCCCCCCAGGACCCTCCTTGCCCGGGAGGGACCCTTGCGTCCCCTGCTCTGGCCACCCACCACCCTGCTCTCCTTAACGCGCCGCCACATCCCAACATGTACGTGCTGGAGCGCGTGCAGCACCGCGTCCCGGAGGAGGCGCTCAGGGTCAGTGCCCGAGCCCGCCCCGCAAGCGAGCCCCCGCCAGAGGGCCGCCGTGCGTCCCCGTTCCCCACAGCCCTCCCCGCCCTGGCCCGTGCTCTCGGGCCTCTGGCAGCCTTGGCCTGGCTGTGCTGCCTGAGCCGGCCCGGCCTGCTCTTCGGGATCTCCCGGTCTGGCAGGTGGGGAGGCCGCCATTCCCCGCAGGCTGGTGCGGCCACTGCGGTGGGTGTGGCCACCGCGGTGGGTGTGGCCAGTGGGCGTGGTCAGAGCCCGGCAGGCCACACCCTGCGGCTTCCGTACCTGGAGGACCCTGATCAGGCCACCGGGGGTGGGTGGCCAGGGACAGGCAGGAGGGGATGTTTGAGGCTGGCAGTCTGGCTTGAGAGTCCCGGCGGGGGCAGCCGCAGGTGGGGCACCACGGAGCGCACACTTGGGGGACGCTGTCCAGAGTTGTACCCAGAAGCCCCCGCGTGGGGGAGGGAGACCGGCCTCGGCTCCTTTTCGGAATGAGCCTCAGGCAGCACAGGGCCGGCGAGGGGCGCAGCCGGTGTGAGGCGGCTCTGACCGCTGCAGAGCTCGGCGAAATGGGGCCCTGGCTAGCACAGACATGCACACACGTGTGTACATGCAGACACTGTTGTGCACACACGTGGATGCATATGAACATACACACCCACAATCTGCTCAGACGGCCCACGTCACCCCCCGGCGCAGACCTGAGCCACTGACCCCCTGCCCTGGGCCCGTCCTGCCCGACTCGGGTGGGTCTGGGGGTGGCCCCTCCCTTCTGCCTGCTCCCCTTCCCCAGCCCCGCAAGCCCCAGCTCCCTCCCGGGGGCTCTGTGGTCCAGAGGATCCCGCCCGGTGTGGGTCTCAGGCTGCCTGCCCTGGGCGGGGGTGTCCTCCCAGGCGGCCGGCAGCCCCTCACTCCCGCCCGCCACCCGCAGCACGAGAAGTACACCAGCCAGCTGCAGGTGAGCATCAGGGGCGCAGCCCCCAAGAGGGGCGAGGCGCTGCCGGAGCCCGCGCCTTACTGCGAGTCCGCCAACCCCAGGCTGGAGCGGGACCGGAGGCCGGGAGCAGGTACCGTGGCACTTCCACGGGGCTGGGGGGTTCACACGCCTCCCCACGGCCCCCCCCTGATTCCCCTCCCCCGGGGGCAGGCCTTTAGCCCCCACACAACCCTCTGCTCCCCCTCAGCTTCCTCGTCTCACACTCCCTAGTAGCCACAGAACAGCCTGCCGATACGCCAGCTCGGGGGCCATGCACACGCCCACCCTGCAGACACCCCCACCCCCACACACACCTGTACCCTGCAGACACCCCCACCCCCACACACACCTGCACCCTGCAGACACCCCCACCCCCACACACACCTGCACCCTGCAGACACCCCCACCCCCACACACACCTGCACCCTGCAGACACCCCCCCACCCCCCCCACACCTGCACCCTGCAGACACACCCCCCCCACACCTGCACCCAGCAGACACACCTGCACCCAGCAGACACACCTGCACCCACATACCTGCACCCGGCAGGCATGCCCACCCAGTGTGCCTGCACTCCTGCTCCCACGCACACGCACCTGCCTGAGCACACCCCAGTCCCACAGCTCTGCAGGCACGCAGGCCCGTGCACGGCCGCACCCTTGCATCCAGTGTGGTCCAGTCAGACCGGTGGTTCTCAGCCTCCAGGGTCGGCCGTGAGTGGCCCGAACCCTGGCAGAGCCATGGAGAGAGGGGGCTCTGGCTGGGGGCTCACCGTCAGGCAGGCTCCGGAGGCAGAGGCCCCCGGCCGGGCCTGAAGGCACTGTCTGCCCGAGGGGGGGCACTGAGGAGAGTGCTTCCCTAAGGACCAGCCTCCCGCCAGCAGCTGCCCAACAGGGAGGCCCCGGGGGGATGGGGGGCGGGGAGTCTGAGTCACCCGGGTGCACACAACTCAGAGCCGTGGGTGGCTGGCCGGGTCCTGGGCACTGACGCCAGGTCCCCCCCAGACCCCAGTCTCCCGCAGCTCCGGGTCTCCCCTGCTGTCTCGGTTGGGGCCATGGCGACCCGGAGCCCCATGCTCCCCCCACAGAGACGGCGGCCTACCGCACACCCCTGTACGGGCAGCCCTCCTGGTGGGGCGAGGACGACGGGGGCACCCCGCCCGAGGACCGGCACCAGGAGGGGACGTGCCCGGGTAGGCACTGAGAGGGACCGGCAGAGGCCCAGACCCCGGGGGGTGGGGGCGGCCGGGCCTGGAGCTGCCTGCGCTGGGCGGATGGGGCGGACGGTCCCAGCCGAGGTGGGGGGGTGCTGCCCCTCGCCCCCACCTGAGGACGTGTCCCCCCACCCCCCAGAGCGGCCCAAGGAGCTGGCGCCGCAGGACGGGGACCCCCCAGGGGTGACGGCCGGCCCCCGGGCCCCCACGGAGCCCCAGGGCTTCCCCTTCCGCCGGGAGCCCAGCTACTTCGAGATCCCCACGAAGGAGGCCCCGCGGCCCCCCGAGGCGCCGGCCCCCGAGGCGCCCACCAAGGACGTGGGGCGGGGCGGGGCGGCGCCCGCGGTGCAGAGCCACGCCTCCTTCACCATCGAGTTCGAGGCCGGCAGCCCCGGCAAGGTGAAGATCAAGGACCACGTCACCAAGTTCTCCCTGCGCCAGCGGCAGCCCCCGGGCAAGCCCGCGCCCGTGGAGGTGGTCTCCGCGGAGACCAAGGTGGCCGACTGGCTGGTGCAGAACGACCCCAGCCTGCTGCGCCGGCCGGGCCCCGGGGACGGCCGCCACAGCACCAAGAGCGACCTGCCGGTCCACACCCGCACCCTGAAAGGCGAGTGCCCCCCGGCGACCCCCGCCTGCAGTTTTCCAGCTCACTTCCCGGGACCCGCCTGCCCCTGCGGGGCTGCTGCTGCTGGTGCGGGTCCCAGGCCTGCGTGCTGGGCTCCGCGCGCCCCGAGGCTGTGTCCCCACGCACGTGCGACAGCTGTGGCTGTGTGTGTCGGCCCCCCTCGGCCTGACGAGTCTCGGCCCCCACCCCCAGGCCACAGACACGAGGACGGCACGCAGAGTGACTCGGAGAACCCCGTGGCCAAGGCGGCGACAGTGGCAGTGGCGGCAGCCACGGCGGCGGCGCCCACGCCCCCCGGGGCCCCCGCGGAGAACGGGGAGCAGGTGCGGCTGCAGAGGCAGATCAAGCGGGACCCCCAGGACCTGCTCCACAACCAGCAGGCCTTCGTCATCGAGTTCTTCGACGAGGACACGCCACGCAAGCGGCGCTCCCAGTCCTTCACGCACGCGCCGCCCGGGGACGCCAAGGCGGACCGGCGCCGGGGCCCCGGGCCGGCCGACAGGGACAGGGACCGCTCGGGCACCCCGGCCCGGGGGGCGGGCAGCGGCGCGGGGCCGCAGCGGGCCAGCTCGCTGAAGCGGGAGAAGACGGAGGAGCGGCCGGGCGGCCCCTCGGCCCCCACGCGCGCCCCCGCCCGCCCCTTCGGCAGCGTGGGCCGCCGCTCCCGCCTGGCGCAGGAGTTCGTGGCCCAGTGCCTGCGGGAGGGCGCCCCGGCTGCCCGGCCCGGCCCCGAGCGGGCGCCCCCCGCGCTGCCCGCCCCCCTGACGCCCCGTGGGCCCAGCCCCGCGGCCCCCTCGCCCCCGCCCCCGCCGGCACCGCCCACCGACCCGCAGCTGAGCAAGGCCCGCAGGCAGGAGGAGGACGACAGCCTGAGCGACGCGGGCACCTACACCATCGAGACAGAGGCGCAGGACCGGGAGGTGGAGGAGGCCCGCAGGATGATCGACGAGGTGCCGCCGCCCGCCGGGGGGCCGGGGGCCGGGGGCCGGGGCCGGGGGCGGGCATGTCCCAGTGGGCCTCGCTCTGACCCGCGGCCGGCCCCCACTCCCCCCCCCCCCCGCAGGTGTTCGGCGTGTTCGAGTCCCCCGAGCTGTCCAGGGCGTCCTCGGCCGTGTTCCGCCCGGTCATCGGAGGGGACAGAGAGGAGCCGTCTGCCCCCCGGGCCCCGGGCGTGGCGGCCCAGGCGGAGCTCCAGGTACACTGTCCCCGTGCAGTGCGCACTGCGCCCCCCGGCCCGTCACGGGGGCCCCTCCGCTCGCACCCAGAGGCCCTGCTCCTGCCTGCAGCTGGGCTCCAACCCAGCACGAGGCCGGGCCGCACGCAGGCGGCTGGTCGTGCGTGGAGGGCCCGGCAGGCCCCGAGGCCCCGAGACACGCCGGGCGCCGGGTTGTGCGCTGCCCTCTGGCAACGCCAGGCCGAGCCACTGCTGCCCACCCCGGAGCCACGGAACCAGGCTCAGGTGCAGGCAGACCCCTCGCTGGGCCCCACAAGCCCCAGCAGGCATGGGGCCTCCTGGCCACCGGTGTGGGGAGCAGGCGGCAGGCCTGGCGCCGGCGTGTGGGGGACGGCTGTGGGGTGGGCTTCCTGTGACCCCCCCTCCCTGCAGGGCCTCCCAGTGCCGGGCTCCCCTGGAGGCCAGAAGTGGGCGTCCCGCTGGGCAAGTCTGGCTGACAGCTACTCAGACCCGGGCCTGGCAGGTGAGTGGCCTCCGGCTGCAGACCTCGGGCAGGGTGGGGGGCTGGTGCCCGGTGAGGCAGCCATGCCTGGGGCGGGGTCAGCCTCCTGCGCCTGCGGGCTGGCGGCCGCTCCGACGGGGCTGCCCTTGTCTTCACAGAGGACGGCCCCGGGCACAGGGCGGGGGACCTCGAGGGCACCCTGCCTGCACGCCAGCGGCGGCTGCTCCCACAGCTGCCCAGCGACCGGACCGACGGCACCGCCGGCCCCGAGGCCGCCAGGAGGAGCGGGCCCGGGCCCCCAGAGCCGGACGGCGAGCTGGCTAGCCACCTCTTGAACCAGGAGGACTTGGAGCCTGACAGCCTCAGCGACGCCAGCGGGTCAGATGGAGGGCAAGGCCCGGAGCCCGGCAGGGGCCCCCCGGAGGGACTGGTGTGGCTGAGGGGCCGGCGCTCGTCCAGGGACGCTGGGGAGCCGGCCCCTGCGTCCGTCCTCACCGGGGAGCAGAGCGGGGAGGTCGCCTTTCCCCGGAGGATGTCCACGGCTCCGCGGGAGGCAGAGGGCCCAGGGCCCGCGGCCCAGCCCGGCCCCTCACTGAGGGACAGCGTCCCCGCGGGCACGGGCGGCGGCAGGAGGGCCATCCAGCCGCAGACACGGCCGTCCCCGGAGCCTGAGGGCCCCGCCCAGGCCAAGGAGGCTGGCGCCTTCATCCGGCAGGAGAGCTTCACCAAGGAGCCGTCCGGCGGCGCCCCCGCCCCCGGGCAGCTCCCCCACATCTCCAGTCACCCCCTGCTGCGGGACCTGGCCGCGGCCCGGGCCTCGCGCGCGGCCCTGCAGCCCCAGGACACCCAGCTGATCCTGAAGGAGACCGAGACGGCCCTGGCGGCCCTGGAGGCACGCCTGCTCTCCCCGTCTGCCGCCGAGGCCCGGGGGCCGCCGGAGGACTCCCTGTCCGGGGACTCAGACGTGGACAGCGCCAGCACCGTCAGCCTGCTCAGTGGCAAGAACGGGGCCAGCCCGATGAACTCCCAGCTCGCGGGGCTGCAGAGGGAGACGCCGCCGTCCCAGGCTGCGGTGCAGGACCTGGGAGGCGCGGCCCTGGGCGGCCCCCGGGAGCGGCTCTCAGAAAAGCAGCGCCACCCGGTGGCAGACGCGGGCCGGGGCGAGCCTGCACGGCGTCTGGCCGCGCGGCGCGGCCAGGGCTCCCTGGACTGGCCCGACGAGGAGCGGGGCTCCGGGCTAGCCCACCCGCCCGGTGCCGACACGGCCGCCTCCGACAACGAGGGCCACTCGGCCCCCGGGATGGGGCGGCTGGGGTCTCGCCGGAAACCCTCGGGGCCCCCGCCGTCCCCAGCCGCCCGGGAGGAGCAGGGCCGCGTGTCGGCCAGTGCCCAGAGGGTGCAGCAGGCGCTGACCCGCTCCAACAGCCTGTCCACCCCGCGGCCCACGCGGGCCTCCCGGCTGCGGCGGGCCCGGCTCGGGGACGCCTCGGACACGGAGGCGGTGGACGGCGAGCGGGCGCCCCTGGCGAACCCCGAGCCAGGGGGGCGGCCAGCGGCCGAGCAGGCCAAGAAGCTGTCGCGCCTGGATATCCTGGCCATGCCCCGGAAGCGGGCTGGCTCCTTCACCGGGCCCGGCGACGCCGAGGCCGCACCCGCCCGCCCCGGCTCCTCCGGCCGCAGCGTCGAGTGGTCCTGCGCCGGCCGCAAGCCCACCAGGGCCGAGGCTCAGGCCGCCGTCCGGAAGACCCCCACCCCGGCCACGGCCCCCCGCCAGCCCTTCAGCAGGGCCCGCCCGGGCAGCGCCCGGTACTCCTCACCCAGTGAGTGCGGGAGCGGGCGGGCAGTGGGTCTGCAGGTTCAGGGGTCGCGGGGCAGGCCGTGGGCGGGCCGCGGTCCCCAGGGTCCCCAGGCTGTCCTAGCGGGAGGGCAGCAGGCCCCGACCATCTCCCAGTGCCGGGGGCTCCCCCCGTCCCCCGGGTGGGCCTGCCGCCTGTCCCCGGAGTCTGGACTTGAGGCTGGGACCCCAACGGGGTGCAGGCTTTGCATCCGGGGGGCCCTGCCCACCCGCCCGCCCACTGTGGGTTGCAGCTCCGTCCTGTGAGCCTGCACCCTGTGGCCAGGGGCCAGCTCTGTCCGTCCCCCCACCCCCTGTGTGAGTCACTTGCAGCCCACGCATGCAGCAGGGAGGGGCGGGCTGTGGTGGCCACTGTAGCTGGCCTCCTGCCTGGGGTGGCCGACGCTTGTGTCCACCCAGCTGGCTCACCCTGCTGGGCGCTGACCCCCTCCACCCCCACGCTGCTCCCAGCCTGGCAGCCTCCTCCTCAGGCAAGTGCTGAGCTGAGGGGCTCCTGGGAAGGGGGGCGGTCGGCAGCTGAGGACCACAGCTGCCCCTCGGGAGTGCTGCCCCCGTCCCCCCCTTGTCCCAGCCACGGTGGGGGGCGCGGGGCCAGGCCGGGAGTCAGGCGTGGAGACCGGGCAGGCGCTGTGAGGGGTGAACTCAGGCCCTTCCCGCAGGCCGGGCCTCACTCGGCCGCCCCATAGTGACGCCCACCCAGGTGGGGAGGTTCCCCCATTCGGGGTCTGGGCACCGCTGTCCTGCTGCCAAGACACTGGTCCCCTCCTGGTGGACATGACATGGCCCCGGCCTGCAGAGACCCCGGGCCTCCCAGCCCTGCGCGGGCCTCGGGGGTGGCCTGGCGGACCCCAGGGCTTGGCTGCTGCTGGCGCTTGAGCCAGGAGCTCCTGGGCGCTGGGGTGCCCGCATTGGTGTGGCCGCCCTGCAGCCCGGGACCCTTTCTGGAGTGGCCCGGGGGACCGCCTCGGGGAGCTGAGCACCGCTGGGCTCTGTGCTGGCTCCTGGACCGCGTCCCCCCACTCCCCCCCCAGGCACGCGCCGCCGGCAGCAGGGCTCCGACTGCACGTCCACCTCCGAGGAGGAGTGCGGCCCCCACCACGGCTCCGGCTCCCCCAGACACGGGCGCCCCCGCACCTCGGCAGCCACGCAGACCCCGAGGGCGGGCAGCTCCGTCCGGGCCCGGTCCCGGTGCCGGGACACCGACGACGATGACGGGGAGGAGGACCCAGACCCCTACGGCCTCATCGTGCAGACGGCGGAGATTGCAGAGATCGCCAGGTGAGCCGCAGCCGGGTGGGCGCTCCGCCCGCTGGGGCCGCCCCGGGGCCGGACCAGGCACACCCGTGGGGAGAGCAGGGCCAGGCCGGGCGCTCTTCCCAGATGGGCTTCGTGGGTGCTCTGCGGCCGGATGAGGGGTGGGGGGGTGCTCATGTTCCTGGGAGGGCGGGGGGCCTCTGGTACTCAGAAGGCCCCCAGCAAGGTTGCTATTTAAAACACACTTTTTTGAGACTTTACTTAATTTCTTCTTAGAGAGGGGGAAGGAGGGAGAAAGAGAGGGAGAGAAACATCAATGTGTGGTTGCCTCTCGTGCGCCCCCTACTGGGCACCTGGCCTGTAGCCCAGGCATGCACTGGGAATCGAACTGGTGACCCTTTGGTTCGCCCACCGGCATTCAGTCCACGGTTATTCAAGGTTTGCTCCCTGGTGTGTGTGGTCATTGGGCAGAAGGGCCCACCTCCAGGCCAGGTGCTGGGGGACGGGGTGCAGAGGTGGGAGGGGGGTGAGGGAGGGTCCTTGCCTGAGCAGGGAACCCTGCTGGGGGGCGGGGGGAGCCCTGGGACGCGGTGGGTGGTGAGTGCCGGTGCTGAGGGTGCTGACCTTGACCTGAAGGAGGCAGCCAGAGGCAGGCGGCTCCCAGGAGAGGGGCCCGTGTGGGGTCTGGAGCTGTGGGCGGCCCCGGGACCAGGAGGGCGACCAAGGCCACAGGCAGTGTGAATGCGAGTCCTCGGGGTGGCCGAGGGGCGTGGGGGGTGGGCTGTGGGGGCTGGGGGCCGGTGTAACAGGAGACGGCAGCACCCGGCCCGGAAGGCGGTCTCCAGCGTCCCAAGGCCTCTGCGCCCAGACCTCCCGTGCCCACCGCAGCCGCGGTTCGGGCCGGGGGCAGCAAAGGGACGGGCACGAGGCACGGGCTGGTCTGTAGCCAAGTTTGGGACCGTGTTTCTTCACTGTGGGGCGGCTGGGCCCGGCGGGGGGCCCCCTGGCCGTGTGGAGGGGCCGAGGGCAGCCCTGTGGGGGCAGGGCCGGGGCAGCCACGCAGGGCAGGGGCTGCGGGCGCCTCCTGAGTGGAGGGGCCCGAGGGCCAGCTGACGCCCTGGTGCCTGGTGGGCCTGGAGGCCCCACCCCCCGGGGGGCACCGTCAGGGTCGTGGCAGCGGATAGTGACGAGGGACTTCTGCCCCACGTCGGAGCTGAGAGCCCCAGGGGCGTGGCGCCTGCTGGCCGTGGCCCCAGGAGCTCCGAGGGCCGGGTGGAGGCTGGGAGCTGCGCCTGGCCGGGCCTCTGCCCTCTTCCCGGTGGCCTGGGGGCCGGTTAGGGAAACGTGTGTTGCCCGTGGGGAGGGAGAGGGGCCAGGCTGGCCCTGGGGGCTGAGCCCACCCTGGCCGCCCTACACCGTGGGGAGGAACCTGGCCTTGCTGGGTCGTCCTGCCTTTCCCTCCGCCCCATCCCAACCCGGCCTCAGTTTCCTGGCTGGCAGAGCAGGGGCTGCCTCCTGGGGTGGGGGGGGGTTGTGCCTGGCCCCTGGCCCCTGCCCCCGACTGGGAGGCACCCACAGCACCAGCCTCCCCGCCCTCCCGCCCGCCACAGGCTGAGCCAGACGCTGGTGAAGGACGTGGCCATCCTGGCCCGGGAGATCCACGACGTGGCCGGGGACGGGGACGCCTCGGTCTCCCCGGGGCCTGTGCGCAGCCCCTCCCTCAACAACTTGCCGGCCTCCACCATCTCCGCCCGCGAGGAGGTGAGCCAGCCGGGCCCCCCCCTCTGCCGGGGATCAGGGCCTGCAGGGACCCTGAGCCGACGGGCCTGGCGCCCACCTGCTGTCCACCTGCTGTCCCAGTGGGGAGGGTTGGCGCCACCGTCCCCACCTTCTGTCAGACGTGCCCCCCCCACCCCGGGCTGACGCACCTGCCCCCCGCGCCACGCAGCTGGTGCAGCGCATCCCCGAGGCCAGCCTCCACTTCCAGAAGGTGCCGCCTGGCGCCCCGAGCCCCCGCGACCTGGACCAGAACATGAACGACCGCCGGGAGGACCCCCTGGCCAACAAGACGAGGCCGCGGAACCGCGAGGAGGCAGGCGCACCCCCCTCCCCCGGACCCGGCTGCGCACACAGGGGTCCCTATGGGCCCGGGGGCGGGGGCAGGCCGGCCGAGGGAGCCGGCTGGGCGGGGACCCCCAGGCCCTGCGCTGATGCCCGCTCTCGCAGGTGATCTTCGACAACCTGATGCTGAACCCCGTGTCCCGGCTGTCCCAGGCCATCCGGGAGGACACGGAGCACCTTGCCGAGAAGATGAAGTGAGTCCCCGCCCACCCCGAAGTGGGCCAGCTCCCGGGGCCCCGGCCGGAAGGGGAGGGGCGGGGGCTCCCAGCGGGGCTCCCCCCAGACAGACAGGAGCGCCTGGGAGCGAGCCGGGACCGGGCAGGGCTGGGGTTCTCCAAGGCCCACGGTCCGAGGACACGTGTGCACGCGTGTGCCCAGGGGAGCCAGAGCCCCCACCCCACCCCACCCCACCCCCTCCCTTCAGTCCTCTCCAGCCCTGCCCATAACCGGACCGGACCAGCCTCGGTCCTGCCCGAGCCGCAGGCTCCCCTGGGGCCTAGCAGGGGTGGTCTGGGGTGGGGGGGCTTGGCTCCACATCACCCTCTTCCGCCTGCTCCCCCTGCCCCCCCCGCCGCAGGATCCTCTTCCAGAACTCGGGGCGCGCGTGGGAGGACCTGGAAGCCAGGATCAACGCCGAGAACGAGGTGCCCATCCTGAAGACTTCCAACAAGGTGAGGCCGCCCGGCCCGGACCCCCCAGCCCACTGGGCTGCAGGGAGGGGTGGGGGCGCGGGCCCGAGCCCCAGGGAGAGGGGGCCCCTCGGGGGCCGGGCCCCTCGGCGCCACCAGACTCCTCCCCGTGGCTTCCAGGAGATCAGCTCCATCCTGAAGGAACTGAGGCGCGTGCAGAAGCAGCTGGAAGGTGGGTGGGGCCCATGCCCCGGGGCCCTCGGGTGCTAAGGCCTGGGGCTGGGGGTTGGGGGCCCTGAGGGAGGGGCTGGGGGTGTGCGGGCGGGGCCGGGTCCTTCCCACCACCTGACACCTCACCCTCCGCCCCACCCTGCAGTCATCAACGCCATCGTGGACCCCAGCGGGAACCTGGACCTGCTGACCGCAAGCAGGGGCTCTGCCTGCAATGCCCAGCCCGGGAAAGGCCGGCTGGCTGTCCAGAGCCCTTCCTCACCGCCCTCGGCCCTGTCCCTGAGGAGCTTCCCGCAGAGGGCCACCTGCGGGTCCCCCAGCCTCCCGGACCCCTCCTTCCTGCCCGACTTCCTCCCGGACTCTGAGAGGTTCCTGATCTAGGGGGCAGTGGAGCAGGGGCAGCCCCTGTGTGGGGGCCCCTGGTGGGTGCCTCCCACTCGCCCTTCCCGCTGCCTGCACCCCTCCCGGCGGCATCGGTTCACCACGAAGACCCCCACACGTGCCATAACCCACGGCGGGTGCTGCCCCCAGGCCCCCTCTCGGCTCCCAGCCGGCACCCCACGGGATTGCCCAGCCCCCGCCCCGCCGGCCCCCTGGCCCAGCTTCTGTTGTGGCCACTGCCAAGGGCTGTGCCCCGGGCCTGTCCCCACACCCTCTGCATCACTGTCACTTTCGTCTTTAGCTTTCAAGGGAAGAAGAGTCGCCTGTTCCGTCTCAGCAGCCCCCCTGCCCCGTGGGCCGGGGCACGTGCTTACCTGTCCCATACCCGTGTGCTGGCTGGCCAGGCGGAGGCGGGGGCTGCCTGTGGGGTCGCAGAGTGCCAAACAGGGGGCTGGGCGGGCTGGACGCCCGGACTCGAGGGCGTGGGCAGGGCAGGGACCGGCACCTGGAGCCTTCGGTGCCAACACGCCTGCAAACCCGCCCAGCCTGCGGGCTGCTGCTGCGGTGGGGAGGGGCCGGGTGTGCCCCGGGCCTGCTCACTGCCGGCCCGGGCACATCTGTGTGGTGTGCAAGGCCTGTCCCGAGACCGTGCTGGGCCCTGCACTTGGCTTCCGGTAGCTCTGGGCCAGGTGGAGGTGCACGCCAGACCAAAGTGGCCGCAACCCAGCTCCCGAAGGCTCCCCAGGGACACGCCGCCCTGTCCCGGACTCTGGGCGGACTGGGCATCTACAGGCGCCCCCGCCCAGGGGTGGGGGTGGGGACGGGCCCCAGAAGCAGTGTGTCATTTCTCAGGATTCTGTCAGCGGGAACGTGCCAGGCGGCCCCTCCCGGGGGCTCGGGTTTCTGGAGCCTCTAAGCCAAAGAGCCGTGGGCGGGGCGGGGCGAACCCCTCAGCAGAGTGGTGTGGCCGCTGCACACGCGCCTGGTGTCTGTGTGTCACTGCAGGGGGGCCGGGGGCGGGGGGCAGGCTCTGTTTACATTGGCGTCCAGGCGCAGCCCCTGCCCGCGGATGTTTACCTGTGTGAGTGGCAGTCACGTGGAGGCGGTGCTAGTCCTGGCCCCGCCCACGCGCCCCGCCCCACTGCCCCAGCGCCAATCACAGCTCTGCCCGCAGAGCCTCCTCCCTCCCCCCGCCCCCGGGGCGCTGCACCGTGGATCTCTCCATCAGCCTGTGCCCCTCCGCAGCCCCGGGCCGGGATCAGTAACTTATTTGTCTGGCTCCGCGGAGGCTCCTCTGTGCTTGTCCTCAGGTGGCCTGTCGGTGTCTTCGAGAAAATGGTTATTTTATATGATTTGTCATGGAACTTGTTCTAATAAATCATTCTATCACGTGGCAACATCCTGGCGGTGGCGCCTTGGCCTTGTTTCTCGCTGGTGAGGTTTGTTTAGTGCGGGGGTTGTAATCCAAGGGGCCCCCTTTCCTGGCCCGGGAACTCGGTTTTGACCCCCGAGACCGGGGGACGCTGCAGTGCACAGATGTGACCACCAGGTGGCGGCCTAGGTGAGAAAGCAAAGTGGAATTCCCAGATGTTTGCTCCTGGAAAAGTTATTTTATTCCTGCCGTTCAGGCCGCACCCTCCAAGAGCACCCCCAAGAGGCAGGCTGTGCTGGAGAGCCCTGGGCTCTGTGCCGGGCCAGCTCCTCCCCCTGGGTGGCCGCGGAGGGGGTTCTGACCACCCACGGTGCCGGCATCCCCCCACCCGGTGCCTACAGCCTGCGTCCTCCCTCCCTCCCCAGGCCAGTCATGGCCCCCCTTCAGCCACAGGGGTGACCTGGAGGCCAGAGGGACAAGTGCCCAGCACGGGGGGAGCACCGGTGTGTGCGGTGGGGCCACCTGCTCCCCAGGGGAGACCTTCGGGAGACAGCTGCGCCCTGCTGGGCCTCGCTCTCTGACACCTTTAAGATGTGAAACAGAAAGATGTTGACTATTCTTGGAGTCAATAAATTATTTGTGAGCCCTGGCTGGCGCAGCTCAGTGGATTGAGCGCGGGCTGCGAACCAAAGTGTCGCAGGTTCGATTCCCAGTCAGGGCACATGCCTGGGTTGCAGGCCATGACCCCCGGCAACCACACACTGATGTTTCTCTCTCTCTTTCTCCCTCTCTTCCCTCTCTAAAAATAAATAAATAAAATCTTTAAAAATAAATACATAAATAATTTCTATCGAGCCAGAAAGAGGGAGACGACCCAATGGAAAAGTAGGTAAAGGACTTGAATGGGCAGTTGACCGCAGGTTACCAGAGTGGCCGTGACGACGTGGCCATGTCACGGGGGGAAGGGCGTGGCAGCAGCACGAGGCACCACGGCACCTGCCCGAGCAGCTGCAGCCCGAGTGCCCGCCCAGCCGGTCAGTCGAGTGGCGTTTGCTGAGCCAACCGAGGGCCCCGCTCTGTCCAACCCAGGACGGCGCGCACTCGGCCACAGAGGCCACGTGCAGGGGCCCAGAGTGGCCCTGCCACGCACCCCCCTGGAAGCACCTGCACGGCCCCCACAGAGGGGGTGTCCCTTCTGGCACGTCCGTGCCCCGCGAGCACAGAGCCATCAGAAAGAACTCGGGCCCCACACGCTCTGGCGAACAGCAGGTGTCGCCAACGCCCGAGTCCGCGTGCCGTGACAAGTGTGACAGCAGAGGTGACCGTCTTGGTTCCCTCTTGGAGGAAGGCCGGGACCGAGGGGGTGTTCGAGGGACTGTCCCCACCTTGGTCTCAGTGGTGGTTACACAGGCGTGCGATGTGTAAGCAGCCGCGGAGCACACTCGAAAGTCTCTGCCCCCCCCCGCCCCCAGGTGCGTCCCCGGCGACAGAGGAGGCTGGACATCGGAGCCGCGTGCGCTGCCGGCCTCCTGGGGCCTGGAAACGCCGGGCAGCCCTGGCGCACCCGCCCTCCCGCCCGGTCTGGCCTGGTCGCCGGCTTTACCGCGCTGCGCGTCGGCCTGACGTTCCGGTTTTGTGGGTTTTCCGTATCACACACTTCTGTCTCGCTCGTTTCTGCTGTTGTTCAGTACTTACTGTTTTATGTTTATGGGTTGGTTTTCCGTTCGTTCTTCCTCTCCCCTCCCATTCCCGATCAGCTGCGGTGCACACCGGGTCTGTGTTTCTCGCTGTCGAACTGCGCCGCACACCCCGGGTTGGCGGCGTGGTGTGCCCGGCACCAGCTGTGCAAAGTCTCACCCACTTCCTCTTCGGATGCCGTTCTCAGCTTCCCGCCGCCCTCCGCGTGGGCACGGGCCCACGCCCTGGGCCTCTCTCGTGCTCTCTATTTCCATGCCAAGCGGCTCCAGGTGGGCAGCGACCCCTGGTCCCTGCAGGGGCGAACGCACGTCACCTGTGGAGAGAGGCCTCTCGGGCCCGGCGTCCTCAGCAGCTCCCGGGCCCACTCAGCCAACGGGAGCTGCTGCCAGAAGTCGGAAACACACCGCGGGCGACCCCAGCACAGCCCAAGTAAAACTGAAGTCAGAAAGGTGCCAAAAAGGCAAAAAGAAATAAAACGCAGCTGGTTAGGGTTGGAAAAGCATCACCCTGGAAACTAGAATGACTGGGAGCAAAATCTTGAAAAAACATCCCGGCGGGAGAGGTGGAGAGTGGGCTACGCACAGCCAGACCGAGAGTCGGCCCACCGCACGGGAGCTGAGGGGGAGCACCCAGAGCGCAGCACGCGGGGACCCGGAAACGGGACGTGGGGGCAGCCCGTGGGCGCAGGGGGCTGGGGGGCAGCACCAGGACACGCGTGTGCTCTGGGTATGCTGTGTCCCCCCAAAAGTGTTGAAGCCCAAGTGCCCATCCTTCGAATGCGGCTTACTTGGGAATAAGGACTCGCCGGCGACCGAGTTGAGAGGAGGCCATCAGCGTGTAGACCCGAGACAGGGCGCCCGGGGTCCCTGCAGGAAGGGAGGCTGCGGTCGCAGACACAGATGTGGGGGTGCCAGCGATGAGCGGGGAGGCTGGGAGCCCGCCCCTCACGGCCCTCCAAGGGAGCCGGGCCGGCCGGCGCCAGACCGGGCCTTCTGGCCCCCAGAACTGGGACGATGAATTCTCGTGTTCAAGCCACCCAGTGCTTGGCTCTCCGTGCCAACAGCCCCACAGGCTCGGGGAGCCCACGTGTCCCGGGGGGCGTGGCTAAAACACGGAGCAACACCCAGTCCCACCAAGCAGCGCCGGAGGGCGACAGAGACAGACAGAACGCGTCAGAAGCCACAGAGGCAGGACTGCGTCCCTGCAAAGCCGCCGCAGCAGGTCCCTCGCCAGCAGCAGTGGGACCCGGAGCCCTCGGGTTTCCGGAGGGAACTCTGCCGGTCGAGGGTTCAGATCCTAGAGACGTGACCCTCACCGACGAAGTGAGAGACACTTTCCTGTTACTGAAAGCTGGCCACTGACCCCCCACTCACGGCAGACAATGGACAGTCAAGAATTTTGTGCCCAGCCCCGGCTGGCGCAGCTCAGTGGATTGAGCGCGGGCTGCGAACCAAAGCATCGCAGGTTCGATTCCCAGTCAGGGCACATGCCTGGGTTGCAGGCCACGGCCCCCAGCAACTGCACATTGATGTTTCTCTCTCTCTATCTCCCTCCCTTTCCTCTCTAAAAATAAATAAATTAAATCTTTAAAAAAAGAATTTTTTACCCAGTGAAATTAGTATTCTGGCTGGTTCTAAAGAAGGGATCCCAGGAAGGACAGCAGTCACAGAGGGAGGGGCTGAAATAAAGCAAAAAATTGGAGTAGATAAACTGGTGAAAGTGGGTAATTCTAAACATACCCCGACCAGGTAAAATAATTATAAAGTATGTAACTTATTTTTTAAAAGACTTTATTTATTTATTTTTAGAGAGAGGGGAAGGGAGGAAGGAAAAGAAGAAGAGAAACATCCATGTGTGGTTGCCTCTCATGCGCCCCCTACTGGGGACCTGACCTGAAACCCAGGCACGTGCCCCGACTGGGAATCGAACTGGCGACCCTTGGGTTCGCAGGCCAGCACTCAATCCACTGAGCCACACCAGCTGGGGCAGGTGAGTAACGTATGGGCTTAAAATAACAATAATAACGGCACTGCGAGAATTCGATAAAATCCAGGGGTAACTGGCTTGATCAGGAGTGACCACTGCACTGTGATTTTGTAAGAGATGTGTGTGTTTAGGAATGCAAACTCGAGCAGTCAGGGGTGAAATGTCCTTTGTACCCTCCTTTAAAATCCCTCAGCAAAAATGGCAAGGAGGCAGGTGTGGGCGTCCGAGGTGGGGGGACCTAAGTGGCGAACACGTGGGAGCTCACGGTGCTGCCCCCCACACACACACTTTCTGCACACCTGAGAATGTTTTTAAAACGTCAGGGGAAACGAGGAAGTAAGTAGGGGAACGTGTTGCTCACCCTAAAACTTATGATTTGGAATATTAAGTAAATCCTCTAAATCTACGTTTAAAAACTCAGTGAGTGGATCTAAAGAGGGGCAAAGACGTAACAGGGCCCCCCGGGGCCGGCCGGCGCGGGCACGTGCTCAGTGCCCCTCACGGCCAGTCGCTGGCCTGCCACCTTGAGACGCTGGTGCTGCCCCCTGCTGGGCTTGCGTGGAGCCGTGTGAGCCCACGCCAGTGTCGTCCTGGAGGGTGAGGACCCCCACGCCCGTCAACAAAGAAAACCGGGGCAGGCGTCCCGCCACCCAGCCAGAGAGCCCAGGCCGCACAGTCTGGGTCCTGGAGATGGCCCTGAGGCCAGACTGGGCAGCAGGCCCAGGAAGCACATGAAGGGACCCGGAGGCCACCATCCTCCACTCCTGTCCCAGGCCACCCACCCCGGCCCCTGAACCCCCTGTGGACACTGATCTTGGAAGCTGCCGCCCATGTGAACGGTGGGCAGGTGGCCACCCCGAGGCTAGCACCCTGGAGTAGGCCCCCTGCAACCCCTGTCCTGGGTGGGAGCTTGCAAGGGGGAGCTGGGGGGATGCCCGGCCTTATTCAAAGTGAGAGGGCTCTTCTGAAGGTGAAGTCTGCAGGGCCACAGGGTCCTGAGTTCAGGGAGCCCCCCCTGGACGGGGGGAGGCAGTGCCCCTTGCTGGGGCTGAGAACCGGCAACATCTGGCCAGGCCTGCCTTGTCTGACAGGCCGACGAGCAACCCCCTGCTCTCTCCGGGATGGAGTTCCTACCTGCCTCCATTTCCCAGCATCCCTTGCAGCTAGATACAGTCATGTGACTAAGTTTTATTTTTATTTTTAAATTTTTTTGTAACGAAGTTTTAGATCATGAAACATACATAAAAGTGCCCTGGGAGACTTCCAGGAAGTCCTTGGGATAGCCTTTGTGTTCTGCTAGAGGTGATGGCTGAGCTCAAGCAGCTATTATGGGGCCATGAGGCTGCAGGCCAACCCTTGGGAACAGCTGAGAGCTGGAGGGACCTAGCTCCCACGGCTGTGGGGCCAACACCATCCCTAGACCATCAGTGTCTGACCCTAGTCAGTGTGAGAGAGAAATGAGCACTCTTGCTTGCACCTCGGTTCCTGGGGTCCTTGGGTCTGCATTAACCCTGCTGACACACAGGTCCGTGCCTGGAATGCGTCCACCTGGGGCAGTGCAGGGAAGAGTGATTTTTCTCGAGTGGAAGTTTTCAGCACCACCCTTGAACTGGCTGACCCTGTTCCAGAGGTCACTTGCCGGGAGTGTGGAGGGAGGTTCTCAGGACTAAGAGGAAGTAACCGAAGGGGAAGCTGCAGACAGGAGGCAGGTGGGCGGGCTGGAGGCAGCCGGGGAGCCCGCCCAGAGAGCTGAGGGCTGCAGTCGGGCTGGAGCCGAGATGGGTGTCAAAGCAGGACCCCCAGAGGTGAGTGCCGCGGAGCCAGGGCCGGGCCCAGAGCGTCGCAGAGACACGGCTCGGCCTGCACACCGCCCGCCCCTCCCGAGGGTCCGTGGTGGGCCTGTCCCAGCCCGGGCCCCCTAGCCAGGCCCCGCACCACCAGGGAGGGTGTCCTGCACCTTCAGCCGACCTCTGGCGCCTGCGGGGCCCACGGCCCCCACACAGGGCTTGGGGGCCAGCTGTCCCCGGGGAGGGGGCCTCTCAACTCATCACAGCCCCGAGGACCAGCGCCAGTGGGTCACCCTCTCCGAACAGCCGCCCATCTGAGGGACACGGGGGTCCCCGGGGATGCAGGGAGCACACGGGGCTTCAGTTGCCTCAGCCGCCCTGCTGGCCGGCGCCCCCGTTCCCGCGGAGTTCCCAGTGGCCCTGAGCGGGAGACCACATGTGCAGGGGGTGGCTGCAAGGCGGTGCCTCAGGCAGCTCCGGACGGGCTGAGCCCCGACCTGCCGGTCCGCCGGTCGCACGTGTGGTGTGTGGTGCGGCGTCCGGAGCCTCCTAGGGACATCCCTGGTGCCCTCTTCCCCACCCCCGCCCTGTCACTCTGACGACCTGTCCTGTGCTGCCCTGCCCTGAGAGGCCCGGGCCTGGGGGCCTGGTGCTGTGCCCCGCACCCTCCCTGGGAGGGGGGCTGGCCGGCTCGAGCTCCAGGCCTCCAGGCCCTGACGGCCCTCAGGGGACACTTCCTGGAGGGAGGGTTCCCGCCCTCGGGGACTCTAGCAGGGCCCCCCCTCTTGCTCTGGGTTCCACCCCGGGATGTTCTGGCTCGGGGCGGGCACAGACCCTGGGTCCAGCTCCTGTGGCCGCCCTGCCCTGGGCGAAGGCAGAGCAGGTGTCCCGTGGGGGGACAGCCTCAGAGGGCCCTCAGGGGCCCGAGGCGGAGCTGGTGCTCCTGGTCTGTGTCCCAGGCAGGCCATGCAGCCCCAGGCCCCAGGCAGCATGGTGAGTCCTGCTCCAGCCCACAGCCCCCCGCGAGCACAGGGGGGCCCTGGCTCAGCCCACACTGGGTCCCTGTCCCTCTCCCAGTGGTGCCTCCCCTGCAGGACGGGGACTGGTGCAGCTCCAGGGCGGGTGCCGGGGGGCCGGTGGGGAAGGAAAGCGGCTATTTATAGGGCGGCAGCGAGAGCGAGAGCGAGAGTGAGAGCTCGAAAGCAGAACCGACTCTCGCACTCACTGCGGTTGTGGCCGGAACACGGAACTGAGATTCTGGCGCCCAGACACCCGCCGCGGGGGGACCGAGAGAGGGGAGACACAGAGCCGGCCCTGCACTCGGACTCACAGACACACGGACACACGCAGACACGTGCACAGAGACACACGGGCATGCAGACACACAGACACGCACGTGCACTAGCAAACAGCCAGGGACGACCCCACCCCAGGGTCCACCGCCTGCCGGCCAGAGCCCGTGGCAAGGGCAGCGGGGGGAGACGCACACGGGTGGGACCTCGGGCACCAGCGGGAGGCCCTGGGGGCTCGAGCAGGTGTCGGCAGGGTGCCCACAGCGGTGGGGGGGTGTCCCCAGCGCCCAGGGCTGCGGGTGACATGGGGCCGCCCCGCGCAGGTGCCGAGCCCCCCGCGGAGAGTGTTGCTGGCCCCCAGCCCACGGAGCAGAGAGCTGGGCATGGTAGGTCTGGGGCTGGGGGCAGGGGTGGGGCGGCCTCACAGGGCCCGTGGGCAGAGCTGTGAGGGACCCTCAGGGGCACCCCGGCCAGAGAGCCGCCCAGCCCTGGCCCACGCGCTGCTGTCGTGCGGGACCTGGGAGGACAGCCGATGACCACGTGGCCTTGCCAGCTCGGTGGGCCTCATCCCCGCCCACGCGCCCCCCCTCCCCCGCAGGGGCGGGCCTCGCCCTCCTGGGGGGCGGGGACCCCTCAGTGACACCTCCTCCAGTTGCAGGACCTGGGGACACTGGCAGTGCTGTGGCTCAGTGGCGTGGCTCTCATCTACCTCCTGTGGCAAGTGCCCCATCTGCCCGCCTGGGGCCAGGGGCAGTCTGCCGGGTCCCCGGCCCGCGGCCCCCGCCCAGCCTGGGAGCCCCTGGGAGGGGGGCGCGGGGGGCCAGACTCCTGCCGGTGAGTGAGCCTTTGGGGTCTGCCTGGGGGCGGGGTCTGCCTCGGCCCTGGGCTGTGATGTCCCGGCACCCCTGCCCCGACCCAGAAGCCCCCTGCCAGCTCCTCTCCGAAGACGCAGGCTCCAGGGAGGGAGGGTCCCAGACTGGGTGGGGTGGGCCCACCTGGGGGCTCGGACAAGGTGGGTGAACCGAGGCCCCCGCCCCCTTCCCCGGCCCCCCTGGGTGGAGACAGGGACTTGCCTTCCCCCGGCCGGCCCCGCCGCCCCCGCCGCCTCCATGCCAGCTCCACGGGCTCCCCCGGCAGCAGCTCCGACTGGGTAGGGTCCTGGGCCCCCCATCAGGCCTGCTCAGGCCGCCCCCCCCCGCCGGCTGCCCGCTGTCACCCCCGGCTGCTGCGGGCTTATGGGGCTCAGGCTGGGCACCTGCGCTGCCCAGGCAGGCGGCCGCCCCTCCCTGAGCCCCCGGCCGGCGGCCTCGTCCCTCTGGTCTGGGGCGGGGCGGGAACGGAGCGAGCGGGGGCTGGGAGGTGGGCCGGCGGCCTCACGCTGGGCCCCGCCGCAGGCTGCTCCTCGTGGAGAGCATCCCCCAGGACCTGCCCTATGCGGCCGGCAGCCCGTCCGCCCAGCCCCTGGCCCAGGCCTGGCAGCAGCTGCTGGACGCCGCCCAGGAGAGCGTGCACGTCGCCTCCTACTACTGGTCCCTGACGGGCCCCGACATCGGGGCCAACGACACCTCGGCCCAGCTGGTGCGTCCCCGCCCCCGCGCCCGCCCCTCCTCCCGGGGAGCAGGGCCGCCCACCACTCCGCCCCTGGGCTGGGGGTGGCCAGGGTGGGCCCTTCGTGGTGGGGGCGGCAGAGGGCCGCCTGGGGCCGCTGCTCACCGCTGCTCTGGGCCCGCAGGGCGAGGCCCTCCTGCGGAAGCTGCAGCAGGTCCTGGACCGGAATGTCTCCCTGGCGGTGGCCACCAGCCACCCGACGCTGGCCAGGAACTCCACCGACCTCAAGGCCTTGGCAGACCGAGGTGGGTGCCCGCCCGCCCCTCCCGCACGGGGTGGACGTGGGCGGACCAGCTGGTGCCGGCCCGAGCCGCTTCCAGGCAGCTCCACGGGGCTGGGCTTTGAAGAGCCGGGGTGCCGTCCGCGGGCACAGCACGGGGTGACCACCTGTGGGGGGCAGCGGGCGACAGAGGCCGTCAGCACGGGTGCTACGAGGCAGCTCCAGAGCCAGTCCGTGCCTCAGTTTCCCCACCCACAAAGCGGCACCGACCTAGCAGACGGCAGGCCGTGAGGCTCCCGGGAAGCCGGTTCACCCTGTCCCCCCGACCCCGGCCAGGTGCCCAGGTGCGCCGGGTGCCCATGGGGCGGCTCACCGGCGGCGTCCTGCACTCCAAGTTCTGGGTCGTGGACGGGCTTCACGTCTACCTGGGCAGCGCCAACATGGACTGGCGGTCCCTGACCCAGGTGAGCCCCGCGGCCTGGCAGGGGAGACCCTCCTGGAGCGCGCCCCCACCCCACACTCGGGGCTTTTCCCGGGGTCCCCTGCCGCCACCGGGGGGAAGCCTGGGTGACACAGCCACGGCATCGTCTCGGCGCAGCGGAGCCCGTGAGAGCTGCTTCCCGAGTCACAGGCTGCCGCCCGCCACCGAGCTCACCCCACCGAGGCAGGCTGGCCCACGCCACTCCCAGGGTCCCGGCCAGCGCTGACCCTGACCTTTCCGCCCCGTCCGCCGTGTTTGTGTGGTGGACGTCCATCACTCGGACCCTCTGGCCGCCGCGCCCCAGGGCCCCCGCACCCTGCCCGTTAGGGATTCCGGCAGTGGGGGTGCTGCTGCTGCCCTCCTGCACCGCGCCCCTGGCCACCGCTGCTGCCCCCTGCAGGTGAAGGAGCTCGGTGCGGTCATCTACAATTGCAGCCGCCTGGCCCGGGACCTGGAGAAGACCTTCCAGACCTACTGGGTGCTGGGGGCGCCCAGAGCTGTGCTGCCCAAGCACTGGCCTGGGAACTTCTCGACCCACATCAACCGCTTCCAGCCCCTCTGCACCCGGTTTGACGGGGTGCACACCACAGCCTACTTCTCGGTGAGCGGCCGGCAGGGCCCACAGGGCACCCGGCAGTCACTGCAGGGCCCTTGGGTCCTCGGGGAGGCAGCCCTGGCCCAGCGCCCTGGACGGCCCCGGTGTCGGGGGCGTGGGGAGAGGCCGGCCCAGTTCCAACACAGGATGCAGCCCTCACCGCCCACAGGAGAGACAGGCGGCCAGGGGGTGCCGCGGGGGTCTCCCAGTGCAGTGCCAGCTGGGGTTGAGGGGCTCCACTGGGGCCAGGGAGGCCGTGCGAGGCCAGTGCACCCCGCGATCTCGTCACTCTGCAGGGCAGAAAGGCAGCCGGGCGGGCCGACCGTGGCCCCAGCAGGCGTCCTTCCCTCTGGTGCAGCCCCCCAGCCACATGGCCAGTCCAGGGCCAAGACCTGGGGTCTGGGCAGGGACTCGGCCCAGGGCGCCCAGAGCAGATGGGCAGCCTTGCCTGGCACCGCGTCTGTCTTTCTCGGGGTGGCCAGGGCCGGTCCCGCCCCCTCCGGCCTCTGCAGGCAGCGCCTCGCCCCGGGGCCCCAGAGGCCGGAGGGAGGGCTGCACGAGGGCCCCAGGTCAGGGAGCTAGAGGCTCGGGACAGGGGCAGCGCCTGCAGGGGCCCCTCTGTCCCGCAGGCGTCGCCACCTGCGCTCTGCCCGCACGGCCGCACCCGGGACCTGGACGCGCTGCTGGCCGTGATGCGGGGCGCCCGGCGGTTCCTGTACGTCTCGGTGATGGACTACTTTCCCACCACCCGCTTCACCCGCCCCGCCAGGTAGGGCCCCAGGGCCCGGGGGCCGCGCCCCGCCTGGCGTCCCTCCTGCCCACACCTGGCCGGCCAGGCCCCCGCTGACCCCGGGGCCCGGGCCCTGCCCCGCTGCCCCAGGTACTGGCCGGTGCTGGACGACGCGCTGCGGGAGGCGGCCTTTGGCAGGGGCGTGCGTGTGCGCCTGCTCGTCAGCTGCTGGCTGCACACGGACCCCAGGATGTTCCCCTACCTGCGGTCCCTGCAGGCCCTCAGCGACCCCGCGGCCGGCATCTCCCTGGACGTGGTGAGCACCCCCCCGGGGCCCGGCGGGGGGAGGTGCCCCCCTCCTCTGTGACACCCCCTCCTCTCTGCCCCCGAAGAAAGTCTTCATCGTGCCCGTGGGGAACCACTCCAACATCCCGTTCAGCAGGGTGAACCACAGCAAGTTCATGGTCACAGAAAGGGCAGCCTACATCGGTGAGCGGCTGCGGGGGGGTGGTCTGCGGCAGGGGCGGCCCGGGGGCCCTTGAGTGAGGGCACCGAGGCCACCCAGACCCATGGGGAGGGACCGGCCCGGGGGCTGGCAGGGGCACCGCTCTTGGGCTGGAGGACGGAGGGGCCGCGGATGGGGTCTCAGCACCGTCTGAGGACCACACGGCCGCCCAGCTGTCGTAGTGCCCGCAGGACTGGGCCAGCCAGCCAGCGTCTCTGCCCTGCACCCCCAGGCACCTCCAACTGGTCGGAAGATTACTTCAGCAGCACCTCGGGCGTGGGGCTGGTGGTCAGCCAGAGGGCCCCGGCCGGCGAGCCCGGGCGAGGCACCGTGCAGGAGCAGCTGCGGCAGCTGTTCGAGCGAGATTGGAACTCCCCCTACGCCGTGGGCCTGGACGGACAGGCGCCGGGCCAGGACTGCGCGTGGCAGGACTGAGGCCCCCCTCCCACCCCCAACCCCGTCCCTGGTGGGCACTGCTCCCCTCCAGGCCCCCCACCCTGGCCCCCCGTCCAGGCTCCAGGCAGCTCCTCCCGCACAAGTCATGGTCAGGGTCAAGACTGCCCCGGCCCAGGGCAGCAGAGCGAACTGTTCGCTGTCCCCTGCTCTCCAGATACAGCCCCTCAACGCCCCCCCGCCCCGCACCAAGGGAGCCCCCCAGGAGGCCTCTGCGCACCTCCCCCTGAACTGCAGTCCCCGCCCACATGAGGGGCCTTCCAAGCACCCCCGCCCCCCCCCATCTCTCTCTGTGCGTCCGGCCAGGGCTGGAGTCCACACTGCACTGGAGTCCACGCGGCAGTGGGTGAGGGGGTGCTTGTGGGTCATGGGGGCCCCTGACTCTCACGGGGCTCAGCCCCTCCAGGGGGCCCTGGGCGGCCCGCATGCCAGAGCCGTTGGGTGGGGGCAGGAGCACTGGACCGGCCCTGTGCCCATGGGTGTGTGCTGGTCGGGGTCGAGGAGTGGGGCCCCGGACTGGGGCCGCCGGGCAGCAGCAGAGAGGACCTGGGATTGAGCGGGGGACGGGAACACAGGGCTGGGGTGGGGCTTGGACGCCGCCCCTGGGAGCCCACCCTCCCCAGGGGCCACCCTGCAGAGCCAGCTCCGAGCTCAGCCCCAGCCCTCAGGCAGCACTTGGGCTGCGAGCCCACCTGGCCTGGGGGTCCCCACGGCTGCCTGAGGCTGTGTGGAGCTGAGGGCTGCCTCAGGGGCTGAGGGTCACAGGACGCTGAGGGAGTAAGCCAGTGGGTGCCAGGGTCCGGCTCTCCCATGTCCGGGGTGGCCCCCTCCTGGCCCCCGCCCCGGTGCGGTCTGCCCCGGGGTGGGGGGCCCGGTGAGTTGGTGCTGGGCGTCTCAAACACCGGCCTCCTCGTCTGGGACGAGGCTCCCGGGAGCCAGCCTGCCTCCCCGCCCCGACGTGCGAGCGCCCGAGGGGGTCCCGGGGACCCATGCAGCACCCCGAGGCACCCGGGGCATCTGGGAGCCAGCCAGCTCGAGAGCCGCACCAGGCCAGCGCCTCCCATCCCTGTCCCGGAGCAGACGCCCCCGGCGGTCCGCGCGCTCAGCCAGCGCTAGGCCTCCTGTGCGCGCGGGGGGCCTGGTGGTCACACCTTGGTGGCAGCCTCGAGGTCTGCTCCAGAGCAGAGCCCGGTCCACAGGAGACCCGGAGGGAGGAGGACGCAGAGGCCCCGCGGGCCCCTCGGCGGGGCGGCTCCTGGGGCGCGCAAGCCCCGCCCCTCGTGAGCCCCGCCCCTCGGGGGCAGCGAGTGCTGCTGTCCTTGCCTGTGGCTGACTCCGTGCACAGAGGGGGAGGGGACACAGGGAGGTAACAGCGGGGAGTGTCCCCTGCGGGCGGGCTGACGGGCCCCGAGTGCTGCCCGGGTGGGACGTGGAGACTGCGTCCCCCACCCTGCGAGCTCGGAAGCAGCTCCTTCCGCAGTCAGGGCTGGAGAGGGGCCCGCGGCCCGGCTGCTGCCACCTGGGTCACGGCCCGTGGGACCCTGCGGGGGGCGGCTGAGCAAGGCTGGAGCTCCTGACCCGCGGAATCGGGGTGATAAACGTGTGTTGTTTAACCGGCGGTGTGTGGTGGTTTCTTACACGGGCAGACAGCAGACACCAGGGGCACGGGCGTTGGCCCCTGTGGCCTCCGGACTGAGGCCCCCGCATCTCGGCCCTCGACTCGGGGTTCCCAGAGGGATGAAAACCCCTGAAGCCAGGCGGCACCCCCCGCGTACCCTGGGGGGGCGCCCCACAGAGGCCAGGCAGGGAGGCAGGGAACCTGGGGGCTGGACGGCATGGCCAAGGCCCCGCTGGACGCCCCCTTCATGCATGAACCACTCAGGGACCTGGTGTCAGCTCACTTTCCAGAAGCTTCCACGCCCCCTCACTTGGATGCCCTCGGCAGCCCATGGGGGCGCGGGGAGGGACCTGGCCTCGCCTCTGGACCTGAACTCCCGCCCCGGTGGACCACGCCCCCCCCCACCCCCCGCCTCCAGTCCCCACGGCTCTCCAGCCTGGCAGCAGCAGCCCTGCAAGGCAGAGCCTGCGGGCCGGCCCCCCCGGGCCAGGCCCCTCAGAACATGTCTGCCCGTGAGCCCACGGGAGACGTGGCCACTGCAGGAAACCCCTTGCCCCTCATCCGCCACCCGAGTGGACTTGCTCCCTGTGGGCTGCTTGGAAGAGGCGGCTGCAGAGAGGGAAGCTTCTGAGAGGGCCAAGGACCCGCCTCCCCCGCAGGCCGGACCCCTCTCTCTGTGCCGTCCCACTGGGGCTTGGGGGGTGCGTGTCTGTGCCCCCCCACACCTGCCCGTGGTCTCCCACCTGCTGGTCCACAGGGGCCTGGACCCACACAGGGGTCGCTGGACCACCGCTCCCAGACTCGCCCTGAGTCTGCGGTCCCCGGAGCCTGGGGGCGGGGCTGCGTGGGGTGAGGGGCGGCGCTTCCCGGGACAAAAGCCCTCGCGGCAGTCACTGCGGTTCATCACCTCCTTTATTGCCGGTCGGGGACAGCGAGGCCCACGGGGCACGGCCCCAGCCGGCGCCGGCCACCCCACCCCCTCCACCAGCCCAGCGCCGTGCCCGTTGCAGGAAGCCCCCCCCCCCCCCAGAGCTTGGCTTGGCGGAAGGTCAGCGAAGGGGCCAGCTGGTCGACGGCGCTCAGGGCGCGGGTTCCCAGGAACGCGCCGGCGGGGAGGCCCCCTCAGCCGGGAAGCAGCGCGGGGCAGGGGCCACCGCGGCGCTGTGCGCGAGCAGCAGCCTATGCGGGGGTGTGAGGGCGGGTCCCTAGAAGCGTGTGCGCCAAGACCCAGGAGCACGCCGCCCGGCACGGTCCCGGCGTCCGTGGCTGCCAGCGTCGGGCCGGGGCCGGAGGCTCCGCGATGGCCGCGCCCTGGCGCCTCCGCCCTCCCCAGAGAGCACGCGGCAGCCTCACTCGGTTGTGGGCCCGGCGCCCGCCTCGGCGGGCTCCACGCCCTCGGGCTCCTCCACAGAGAAGCTGTCCCGGGCGTCGAAAAACGTGACCGCTTCTTCCTGGGGCTTGGGCCCGGCCGGGCCTGCCTCGTCCTCCCCCGCGCTGTCTCTCTTCCTGCTGGGGGCGGAGGAGAACCCGAGCTTGGGGAATCGGAACCAGCCGGCCTTCTCCGGCTTCTCGGGCGGCCCCGCCCCGGGGCGGGCCTCAGGCTGCGTTTGGACCGGAGCCGGTGGAGCGGGGCTGGGCGCGTCCTCCGCGGGATCCGCGCGCGCGTCGGCCGCGGAGGAAGAGAACCCGATGCTCGGAAGCCAGAACCGGAACCGGCCCGAGGGCCGCTGGCTCCCGGGTCTCTCTGCCGCATCCCCGTCCTCGTCCTGGCCGACGTCAGGGGAGAATTCGAGGATCTCCGCGGGCTCCTCGTCCGAACAGCTGTCTGCGCGCTGGGGGCCGCGGTGCGCTTCCCATGCCGAGGCCGGCGATCCGGGCGCGAGGGCGGCGGTGCGCGAGATGATTTCGAACGGCTCCCCGGTGTCCGGCTGCAGCGCGCCAGGGGCAGCGTCGGGCGGCGGGGCGTCCGGGGAGACCAGGTGCAGCTGCGCCCGCAGGGGCGCCTCCAGGACCTTCCCGGTCAGCAGGGAGAACCCGTAGGCCGGCGTCTGGATCTGGGAGGCGGGGACCTCTGCTTCCCGCACGATCTGGGTGGAAAAAGCCTCCAGGCCCTGCAGGTCGGCAAAGTCGGCTGTGACCCTGCTGCGGACGGTGACTTCGTGGCTCTCCCCCCGGGCGCCTTGAATGTGCACCCTGACCCTAGAAATGGGGGAAGCGTCCGAGGGGAGGTCAGGGGCCGAGGGCTGCTGCCCGGGGACCCCAGCGCCCGCCTTCAGGAAGCTGGCGCCACAGGCGCCCGGGCCATCCTCACGCTGGGCCAGGGCCTCGCTCAGGGGGGGGACGAAGACATCCCCCTCGGAGCCCGGGGCCGGGAAGGTGAACCTGGGCACCTTCAGCACGGGGAACCTGACAGTGAGCACAGAGTCCGCCCAGAGCTGCCGCACGTCGACGACAGAGACCCGGGCAGGGGTGTCGGTTCTCGAAGCCTTCAGGGTGAGGGGGCCCTCGGGCGGGGAAGGCCGGCGCTCCGTTCCGCCTGCACCCCCTGCCGGAGTCCCGCCCGGTTCCCCAGGGGGAGGCTGTGCTTCCCAGGAGGAAGGTCTGCCCCCCGGCGCCTGCGGGGGGCGGGAGCCCTCGCCGGGGCCCAGCCGGGCGCTCTCGGCGCTGGGAAGCTCATCCGAGGCGGTCCCTGCCCGAGGCAGGTGCACCGTCAGGCCTCTGCTGCCCAGACTCGGCCTCGGAGCCTCTCCCTCGGCCTCTGGGGGTGGGGGGGACACAGGGACCGCCACCCCCGACCCAGCGGCACCGACCCCGGGACTCGTGACCGCAGCTGGAGCCTCTCCGTCCTGCCGAGCGCCCGGCCCGCCAGCCGCGCCCCGCTCCTTGGAGGAGCGCCAGAAGCTGGGCAGGCGGAGCGAGGGCATCCTGAACCAGCTGTCCTGCGAGCTGGCCGGCACCGCGCCCGCTGCCGTGTCGCCCCCCTGGCTTCCCGCTGCGGGGGCCGCCGCCTCCGCCACAGGCAGGCTGGTGGGGTCGGCCGCCAGCCGGGGGCCTCCGCTGCCCTCTCGGAGAGACGAGTCCGGCGCAGGGGGGGGAAGGCCGCCTGCGGCAGGGCTGGGTCTGAGGTCAGGCCCTGTGGGCAGGAGGACCTGTGGCAGGGGGACCTCCGTGCCCACGCTTCCCGGGGGGCCCTCACTGCCAGCCCCTGGGGCGGCATGGGGGGCCCCCCCTGCTGCTGCGGGGCTGGCGGAACTGGCAAGGGCGGGCTCCGGGTCCCCTCCCCTGGAAGACCTCATTTTGGGAAGGGCCAGTTTCGGCACGGCAAAGCCAGGCGTTTTCGCCTTCCCCTGCTCGCCATTGGTCTCAGGGGTCCCGTCCCCGGGGGCACCGGGCACGCCTGCCTCGGCAGCCAGGCTCTGTCCAGGGTCCCCTTTAGGCACGACCTCCTTCTTCGGGGACCGCCTGAAGGACGGGAGGCGGAGACGGGGCATTTTTAGGGGGCTGCTTTTCCCCTCACGATCAGTGTCTTCAGCCGGCCCGGCCCCTGAGGCCACTGCTGGGATCCCCACACTGCCTGGCATCCCCTGGGACAGGGAGACACTTGCACACAGCGGCTGGTAGCCCGGCCACGGGCCCACAGTGGCTTCCTCGGAGTCTGGTCCCGGCGCGGGGCTGGGGAGAGACAGGGCACACCCCACAGATTGCGGCTCCTTGTCCGCCGCCGCAGCTGCAGAGCCTGGAAAAGCAAACTTGGGGCCGTGAAATTTAGGAAAGGTCACCCGGACTTCCGATGTGAGAGTCAGGGTGTCCACGGGGCCCGGGCGGCTGTCCGGTGGGGACAGAGGAACGTGCTCCCAGGACTGGATGTCAGCACAAGCCGCAGAGCTGAGAAGGCGAGCCTCCCGCTGGGGCTCGGAGCGGGTTTCCTCCTGCAGCTCCCCAGAAACGCGGGTCCCGGGGAGGGCCACTTGGTATCTTGTAAGAGTGACGCGCTCACAAGACGTGGCGATAGAGGACTCGGTAACGGGACCACCGATATCGTGGCTGGCTGAGGAGAAGCCGGGCCGGCCCAGGTGGCGCCGGGGCACCGGTGGCTCTCCAGACACCCCGACAGACCAGTCCTCAGCTGCCATCTCGGGGGCAGCTCCTGCAGGGCCAGATGTGGGGGCCCCCGGCTCTGCCCCCAGAAGGACCAGACCTGGAGGAGACTTTCCTGGGGGAGAGAACACCTTGGGGATTTTGAAATGCGGTTTCTTAACTTTGCTCTTTTCTCCAGATTTGGGGCCAGAAACTCCATGCAGCTCAGCAGACGGAACAGAATGACCACTGGGACCCACTGAAACAGAGCCCTCGATGGCAGAGCCCACACCTGCAGGACCGTAGCTGAAGGCAGGGTCACAGGAAACTGAAGTCTCACTGGATGATGGACGGAAACACGGCACCGTCACTTCGGGCAACTTGAACTTGCTGCTTCCGTCATGGTCACCCCGGCCCAGGTCCGCCTCCAGCTGGGCACCGGGAGACTGCACGTCCACCTCCACGTTAGGAGAAGAAAAATCCCCCCGGGGGCCAGAAAATGAGCCCTTGTGACCCTTCATGTCCACTTTGGGCGCCTTCAGGTCCACCTGGGGGCCCTTAAAGTCAACCTTGGGCATCTTGATGCTGGGAAAATGCACCTTGGGCAGGTGGCCCTTGAACCTGGCGCCGTCTGCTTTGCCCTTCAGGTCGCCCAGGGCCACCTCTCCCTCGGGCAGGGCCACCTCCACTTCTGCCCCTGGCAGCTCCATCTCAGCAGAGGGCAGCTGGACGCCTCCGTCTGGGGCCCGCAGGTCAACGCCCACCGAGGGCAGGCTCACCTCCCCAGTGGCCTTGGGCATGGTCACGTCCACGGAGGTGCCCAGATCCTTCCCGAGCCCGGACATGCCGAAGGACGGCATCTTGAACTTGGGCATCTTGAACTTGCTGGCCCCCTCCTTGTCACCCAGGCTGAGGTCACCCTCCAGCCTGGCGCCGGGCGCCTGCACGTCCACCTCCACGCTGGGCAGAGCCACGTCCACCTCAGGGCCGGTCACCTGGCCCTTGGGGGTCTTCACGTCCCAATTTGGGCCCCTTGAGGTCCACCTGGGGGCCCTTGATGTCCATCTTGGGTGCCTTGATGTCCACCTGAGGGCCCTTGATGTCCATCTGGGGGCCCTTGATGTCCACCTTGGGCATCTTGATGCTGGGCATCTGCACCTTGGGCAGGTGGCCCTTGAACCTGGCGCCGTCTGCTTTGCCCTTCAGGTCGCCCAGGGCCACCTCTCCCTCGGGCAGGGCCACCTCCACCTCTGCCCCTGGCAGCTCCATCTCAGCAGAGGGAAGCTGGATGCCCCCCTCTGGGGCCCGCAGGTCAACGCCCACCGAGGGCAGGCTCACCTCCCCAGTGGCCTTGGGCATGGTCACGTCCACGGAGGTGCCCAGATCCTTGCCGGGCCCCCGACACGCCGAAGGGACGGCATCTTGAACTTGGGCATCTTGAACTTGCTGGCCCCCTCCTTGTCACCCAGGCCGAGGTCGCCCTCCAGCCTGACGCCGGGCGCCTGCACGTCCACCTCCACGCTGGGCAGAGCCACGTCCACCTCTGGGCCGGTCACTTGGCCTTTGGGGGTCTTCACATCCAGCTTAGGCCCCTTGAGGTCCACCTGGGGGCCCTTGATATCCAGCTTGGGTGCCTTGATGTCCACCTGAGGGCCCTTGATGTCCATCTGGGGGCCCTTGATGTCCACCTTGGGCATCTTGATGCTGGGCATCTGCACCTTGGGCAGGTGGCCATTGAACCTGGCGCCGTCTGCTTTGCCCTTCAGGTCGCCCAGGGCCACCTCTCCCTCGGGCAGGGCCACCTCCACCTCTGCCCCTGGCAGCTCCACCTCAGCAGAGGGAAGCTGGATGCCCCCCTCTGGGGCCCGCAGGTCAACGCCCACCGAGGGCAGGCTCACCTCCCCAGTGGCCTTGGGCATGGTCACGTCCACGGAGGTGCCCAGATCCTTGCCGGGCCCCAACACGCCGAAGGACGGCATCTTGAACTTGGGCATCTTGAACTTGCTGGCCCCCTCCTTGTCACCCAGGCTGAGGTCACCCTCCAGCCTGGTGCCGGGCGCCTGCACGTCCACCTCCACGCTGGGGACAGCCACGTCCACCTCAGGGCCGGTCACCTGGCCCTTGGGGGGTCTTCACGTCCCAATTTGGGCCCCTTGAGGTCCACCTGGGGGCCCCTTGATGTCCAGCTTGGGTGCCTTGATGTCCACCTGAGGGCCCTTGATGTCCATCTGGGGGGCCCTTGATGTCCACCTTGGGCATCTTGATGCTGGGCATCTGCACCTTGGGCAGGTGGCCCTTGAACCTGGCGCCGTCTGCTTTGCCCTTCAGGTCGCCCAGGGCCACCTCTCCCTCGGGCAGGGCCACCTCCACCTCTGCCCCTGGCAGCTCCATCTCAGCAGAGGGAAGCTGGATGCCCCCCTCTGGGGGCCCGCAGGTCAACGCCCACCGAGGGCAGGCTCACCTCCCCAGTGGCCTTGGGCATGGTCACGTCCCACGGAGGTGCCCAGATCCTTGCCGGGCCCCCGACACGCCGAAGGGACGGCATCTTGAACTTGGGCATCTTGAACTTGCTGGCCCCCTCCTTGTCACCCAGGCCGAGGTCGCCCTCCAGCCTGACGCCGGGCGCCTGCACGTCCACCTCCACGCTGGGCAGAGCCACGTCCACCTCTGTGCCGGTCACTTGGCCTTTGGGGGTCTTCACATCCAGCTTAGGCCCCTTGAGGTCCACCTGGGGGGCCCTTGATATCCAGCTTGGGTGCCTTGATGTCCACCTGAGGGCCCTTGATGTCCATCTGGGGGCCCTTGATGTCCACCTTGGGCATCTTGATGCTGGGCATCTGCACCTTGGGCAGGTGGCCCTTGAACCTGGCGCCGTCTGCTTTGCCCCTTCAGGTCGCCCAGGGCCACCTCTCCCTCGGGCAGGGCCACCTCCACCTCTGCCCCTGGCAGCTCCATCTCAGCAGAGGGAAGCTGGATGCCCCCCTCTGGGGCCCGCAGGTCAACGCCCACCGAGGGCAGGCTCACCTCCCCAGTGGCCTTGGGCATGGTCACGTCCACGGAGGTGCCCAGATCCTTGCCGGGCCCCGACACGCCGAAGGACGGCATCTTGAACTTGGGCATCTTGAACTTGCTGGCCCCCTCCTTGTCACCCAGGCTGAGGTCACCCTCCAGCCTGGCGCCGGGCGCCTGCACGTCCACCTCCACGCTGGGGACAGCCACGTACACCTCAGGGCCGGTCACCTGGCCCTTGGGGGTCTTCACGTCCAATTTGGGCCCCTTGAGGTCCACCTGGGGGCCCTTGATGTCCATCTTGGGTGCCTTGATGTCCACCTGAGGGCCCTTGATGTCCATCTGGGGGGCCCTTGATGTCCACCTTGGGCATCTTGATGCTGGGCATCTGCACCTTGGGCAGGTGGCCCTTGAACCTGGCGCCGTCTGCTTTGCCCTTCAGGTCGCCCAGGGCCACCTCTCCCTCGGGCAGGGCCACCTCCACCTCTGCCCCTGGCAGCTCCATCTCAGCAGAGGGAAGCTGGATGCCCCCCTCTGGGGGCCCGCAGGTCAACGCCCACCGAGGGCAGGCTCACCTCCCCAGTGGCCTTGGGCATGGTCACGTCCCACGGAGGTGCCCAGATCCTTGCCGGGCCCCCGACACGCCGAAGGGACGGCATCTTGAACTTGGGCATCTTGAACTTGCTGGCCCCCTCCTTGTCACCCAGGCCGAGGTCGCCCTCCAGCCTGACGCCGGGCGCCTGCACGTCCACCTCCACGCTGGGCAGAGCCACGTCCACCTCTGGGCCGGTCACTTGGCCTTTGGGGGTCTTCACATCCAGCTTAGGCCCCTTGAGGTCCACCTGGGGGCCCTTGATATCCAGCTTGGGTGCCTTGATGTCCACCTGAGGGCCCTTGATGTCCATCTGGGGGCCCTTGATGTCCACCTTGGGCATCTTGATGCTGGGCATCTGCATCTTGGGCAGGTGGCCCTTGATCTTGGCACCATCTGCTTTGCCCTTCAGGTCGCCCAGGGCCACCTCTCGCTCGGACAGGGCCACCTCCACCTCTGCCCCCTGGCAGCTCCACCTCAGCAGAGGGCAGCTGGATGCCTCCCTCTGGGGCCCGCAGGTCAACGCCCACCGAGGGCAGGCTCACCTCCCCAGTGGCCTTGGGCATGGTCACGTCCACGGAGGTGCCCAGATCCTTGCCGGGCCCCGACACGCCGAAGGACGGCATCTTGAACTTGGGCATCTTGAACTTGCTGGCCCCCTCCTTGTCACCCAGGCTGAGGTCACCCTCCAGCCTGGCGCCGGGCGCCTGCACGTCCACCTCCACGCTGGGGACAGCCACGTCCACCTCAGGGCCGGTCACCTGGCCCTTGGGGGTCTTCACGTCCAATTTGGGCCCCTTGAGGTCCATCTGGGGGCCCTTGATGTCCAGCTTGGGTGCCTTGATGTCCACCTGAGGGCCCTTGATGTCCATCTGGGGGCCCTTGATGTCCACCTTGGGCATCTTGATGCTGGGCATCTGCACCTTGGGCAGGTGGCCCTTGAACCTGGCGCCGTCTGCTTTGCCCTTCAGGTCGCCCAGGGCCACCTCTCCCTCGGGCAGGGCCACCTCCACCTCTGCCCCTGGCAGCTCCACCTCAGCAGAGGGAAGCTGGATGCCCCCCTCTGGGGCCCGCAGGTCAACGCCCACCGAGGGCAGGCTCACCTCCCCAGTGGCCTTGGGCATGGTCACGTCCACGGAGGTGCCCAGATCCTTGCCGGGCCCCCGACACGCCGAAGGACGGCATCTTGAACTTGGGCATCTTGAACTTGCTGGCCCCCTCCTTGTCACCCAGGCCGAGGTCGCCCTCCAGCCTGACGCCGGGCGCCTGCACGTCCACCTCCACGCTGGGCAGAGCCACGTCCACCTCTGGGCCGGTCACTTGGCCTTTGGGGGTCTTCACATCCAGCTTAGGCCCCTTGAGGTCCACCTGGGGGCCCTTGATATCCATCTTGGGTGCCTTGATGTCCACCTGAGGGCCCTTGATGTCCATCTGGGGGCCCTTGATGTCCACCTTGGGCATCTTGATGCTGGGCATCTGCATCTTGGGCAGGTGGCCCTTGATCTTGGCACCATCTGCTTTGCCCTTCAGGTCGCCCAGGGCCACCTCTCGCTCGGACAGGGCCACCTCCACCTCTGCCCCCTGGCAGCTCCACCTCAGCAGAGGGCAGCTGGATGCCCCCCTCTGGGGCCCGCAGGTCAACGCCCACCGAGGGCAGGCTCACCTCCCCAGTGGCCTTGGGCATGGTCACGTCCCACGGAGGTGCCCAGATCCTTGCCGGGCCCCGACACGCCGAAGGGACGGCATCTTGAACTTGGGCATCTTGAACTTGCTGGCCCCCCTCCTTGTCACCCAGGCCGAGGTCGCCCTCCAGCCTGGCGCCGGGCGCCTGCACGTCCACCTCCACGCTGGGCAGAGCCACGTCCACCTCTGGGCCGGTCACCTGGCCCTTGGGGGTCTTCACGTCCAATTTGGGCCCCTTGAGGTCCACCTGGGGGCCCTTGATGTCCATCTTGGGTGCCTTGATGTCCACCTGAGGGCCCTTGATGTCCATCTGGGGGCCCTTGATGTCCACCTTGGGCATCTTGATGCTGGGCATCTGCACCTTGGGCAGGTGGCCCTTGAACCTGGCGCCGTCTGCTTTGCCCTTCAGGTCGCCCAGGGCCACCTCTCCCTCGGGCAGGGCCACCTCCACCTCTGCCCCTGGCAGCTCCATCTCAGCAGAGGGAAGCTGGATGCCCCCCTCTGGGGCCCGCAGGTCAACGCCCACCGAGGGCAGGCTCACCTCCCCAGTGGCCTTGGGCATGGTCACGTCCACGGAGGTGCCCAGATCCTTGCCGGGCCCCGACACGCCGAAGGACGGCATCTTGAACTTGGGCATCTTGAACTTGCTGGCCCCCTCCTTGTCACCCAGGCCGAGGTCGCCCTCCAGCCTGACGCTGGGCGCCTGCACGTCCACCTCCACGCTGGGCAGAGCCACGTCCACCTCTGGGCCGGTCACTTGGCCTTTGGGGGTCTTCACATCCAGCTTAGGCCCCTTGAGGTCCACCTGGGGGCCCTTGATATCCAGCTTGGGTGCCTTGATGTCCACCTGAGGGCCCTTGATGTCCATCTGGGGGCCCTTGATGTCCACCTTGGGCATCTTGATGCTGGGCATCTGCATCTTGGGCAGGTGGCCCTTGATCTTGGCACCATCTGCTTTGCCCTTCAGGTCGCCCAGGGCCACCTCTCGCTCGGACAGGGCCACCTCCACCTCTGCCCCTGGCAGCTCCACCTCAGCAGAGGGCAGCTGGATGCCCCCCTCTGGGGCCCGCAGGTCAACGCCCACCGAGGGCAGGCTCACCTCCCCAGTGGCCTTGGGCATGGTCACGTCCACGGAGGTGCCCAGATCCTTGCCGGGCCCCGACACGCCGAAGGACGGCATCTTGAACTTGGGCATCTTGAACTTGCTGGCCCCCTCCTTGTCACCCAGGCCGAGGTCGCCCTCCAGCCTGACGCCGGGCGCCTGCACGTCCACCTCCACGCTGGGCAGAGCCACGTCCACCTCTGGGCCGGTCACCTGGCCCTTGGGGGTCTTCACGTCCAATTTGGGCCCCTTGAGGTCCACCTGGGGGCCCTTGATGTCCAGCTTGGGTGCCTTGATGTCCACCTGAGGGCCCTTGATGTCCATCTGGGGGCCCTTGATGTCCACCTTGGGCATCTTGATGCTGGGCATCTGCACCTTGGGCAGGTGGCCCTTGAACCTGGCGCCGTCTGCTTTGCCCTTCAGGTCGCCCAGGGCCACCTCTCCCTCGGGCAGGGCCACCTCCACCTCTGCCCCTGGCAGCTCCACCTCAGCAGAGGGCAGCTGGATGCCCCCCTCTGGGGCCCGCAGGTCAACGCCCACCGAGGGCAGGCTCACCTCCCCAGTGGCCTTGGGCATGGTCACGTCCACGGAGGTGCCCAGATCCTTGCCGGGCCCCGACACGCCGAAGGACGGCATCTTGAACTTGGGCATCTTGAACTTGCTGGCCCCCTCCTTGTCACCCAGGCCGAGGTCGCCCTCCAGCCTGACGCCGGGCGCCTGCACGTCCCACCTCCACGCTGGGCAGAGCCACGTCCCACCTCTGGGCCGGTCACTTGGCCTTTGGGGGGTCTTCACATCCAGCTTAGGCCCCTTGAGGTCCACCTGGGGGGCCCTTGATATCCATCTTGGGTGCCTTGATGTCCACCTGAGGGCCCTTGATGTCCATCTGGGGGGCCCTTGATGTCCACCTTGGGCATCTTGATGCTGGGCATCTGCATCTTGGGCAGGTGGCCCTTGATCTTGGCACCATCTGCTTTGCCCTTCAGGTCGCCCAGGGCCACCTCTCGCTCGGACAGGGCCACCTCCACCTCTGCCCCCTGGCAGCTCCACCTCAGCAGAGGGCAGCTGGATGCCCCCCTCTGGGGGCCCGCAGGTCAACGCCCACCGAGGGCAGGCTCACCTCCCCAGTGGCCTTGGGCATGGTCACGTCCACGGAGGTGCCCAGATCCTTGCCGGGCCCCGACACGCCGAAGGACGGCATCTTGAACTTGGGCATCTTGAACTTGCTGGCCCCCTCCTTGTCACCCAGGCCGAGGTCGCCCTCCAGCCTGACGCCGGGCGCCTGCACGTCCACCTCCACGCTGGGCAGAGCCACGTCCACCTCTGGGCCGGTCACCTGGCCCCTTGGGGGTCTTCACGTCCAATTTGGGCCCCTTGAGGTCCACCTGGGGGCCCTTGATGTCCATCTTGGGTGCCTTGATGTCCACCTGAGGGCCCTTGATGTCCATCTGGGGGGCCCTTGATGTCCACCTTGGGCATCTTGATGCTGGGCATCTGCACCTTGGGCAGGTGGCCCTTGAACCTGGCGCCGTCTGCTTTGCCCTTCAGGTCGCCCAGGGCCACCTCTCCCTCGGGCAGGGCCACCTCCACCTCTGCCCCTGGCAGCTCCATCTCAGCAGAGGGAAGCTGGATGCCCCCCTCTGGGGGCCCGCAGGTCAACGCCCACCGAGGGCAGGCTCACCTCCCCAGTGGCCTTGGGCATGGTCACGTCCCACGGAGGTGCCCAGATCCTTGCCGGGCCCCGACACGCCGAAGGGACGGCATCTTGAACTTGGGCATCTTGAACTTGCTGGCCCCCTCCTTGTCACCCAGGCCGAGGTCGCCCTCCAGCCTGACGCCGGGCGCCTGCACGTCCCACCTCCACGCTGGGCAGAGCCACGTCCCACCTCTGGGCCGGTCACTTGGCCTTTGGGGGGTCTTCACATCCAGCTTAGGCCCCTTGAGGTCCACCTGGGGGCCCTTGATATCCAGCTTGGGTGCCTTGATGTCCACCTGAGGGCCCTTGATGTCCATCTGGGGGCCCTTGATGTCCACCTTGGGCATCTTGATGCTGGGCATCTGCATCTTGGGCAGGTGGCCCTTGATCTTGGCACCATCTGCTTTGCCCTTCAGGTCGCCCAGGGCCACCTCTCGCTCGGACAGGGCCACCTCCACCTCTGCCCCCTGGCAGCTCCACCTCAGCAGAGGGCAGCTGGATGCCTCCCTCTGGGGCCCGCAGGTCAACGCCCACCGAGGGCAGGCTCACCTCCCCAGTGGCCTTGGGCATGGTCACGTCCCACGGAGGTGCCCAGATCCTTGCCGGGCCCCCGACACGCCGAAGGGACGGCATCTTGAACTTGGGCATCTTGAACTTGCTGGCCCCCCTCCTTGTCACCCAGGCTGAGGTCACCCTCCAGCCTGGCGCCGGGCGCCTGCACGTCCCACCTCCACGCTGGGGACAGCCACGTCCCACCTCAGGGCCGGTCACGTGGCCCTTGGGGGGTCTTCACGTCCAATTTGGGCCCCTTGAGGTCCATCTGGGGGGCCCCTTGATGTCCAGCTTGGGTGCCTTGATGTCCACCTGAGGGCCCTTGATGTCCATCTGGGGGGCCCTTGATGTCCACCTTGGGCATCTTGATGCTGGGCATCTGCACCTTGGGCAGGTGGCCCTTGAACCTGGCGCCGTCTGCTTTGCCCTTCAGGTCGCCCAGGGCCACCTCTCCCTCGGGCAGGGCCACCTCCACCTCTGCCCCTGGCAGCTCCACCTCAGCAGAGGGCAGCTGGATGCCCCCCTCTGGGGCCCGCAGGTCAACGCCCACCGAGGGCAGGCTCACCTCCCCAGTGGCCTTGGGCATGGTCACGTCCACGGAGGTGCCCAGATCCTTGCCGGGCCCCGACACGCCGAAGGACGGCATCTTGAACTTGGGCATCTTGAACTTGCTGGCCCCCTCCTTGTCACCCAGGCCGAGGTCACCCTCCAGCCTGGCGCCGGGCGCCTGCACGTCCACCTCCACGCTGGGGACAGCCACGTCCACCTCAGGGCCGGTCACGTGGCCCTTGGGGGGTCTTCACGTCCAATTTGGGCCCCTTGAGGTCCATCTGGGGGCCCTTGATGTCCAGCTTGGGTGCCTTGATGTCCACCTGAGGGCCCTTGATGTCCATCTGGGGGCCCTTGATGTCCACCTTGGGCATCTTGATGCTGGGCATCTGCACCTTGGGCAGGTGGCCCTTGAACCTGGCGCCGTCTGCTTTGCCCTTCAGGTCGCCCAGGGCCACCTCTCCCTCGGGCAGGGCCACCTCCACCTCTGCCCCTGGCAGCTCCACCTCAGCAGAGGGCAGCTGGATGCCCCCTCTGGGGCCCGCAGGTCAACGCCCACCGAGGGCAGGCTCACCTCCCCAGTGGCCTTGGGCATGGTCACGTCCCACGGAGGTGCCCAGATCCTTGCCGGGCCCCCGACACGCCGAAGGGACGGCATCTTGAACTTGGGCATCTTGAACTTGCTGGCCCCCTCCTTGTCACCCAGGCCGAGGTCGCCCTCCAGCCTGACGCCGGGCGCCTGCACGTCCACCTCCACGCTGGGCAGAGCCACGTCCACCTCTGGGCCGGTCACTTGGCCTTTGGGGGTCTTCACATCCAGCTTAGGCCCCTTGAGGTCCACCTGGGGGGCCCCTTGATATCCATCTTGGGTGCCTTGATGTCCACCTGAGGGCCCTTGATGTCCATCTGGGGGGCCCTTGATGTCCACCTTGGGCATCTTGATGCTGGGCATCTGCATCTTGGGCAGGTGGCCCTTGATCTTGGCACCATCTGCTTTGCCCTTCAGGTCGCCCAGGGCCACCTCTCGCTCGGACAGGGCCACCTCCACCTCTGCCCCTGGCAGCTCCACCTCAGCAGAGGGCAGCTGGATGCCCCCCTCTGGGGGCCCGCAGGTCAACGCCCACCGAGGGCAGGCTCACCTCCCCAGTGGCCTTGGGCATGGTCACGTCCACGGAGGTGCCCAGATCCTTGCCGGGCCCCGACACGCCGAAGGACGGCATCTTGAACTTGGGCATCTTGAACTTGCTGGCCCCCTCCTTGTCACCCAGGCCGAGGTCGCCCTCCAGCCTGACGCCGGGCGCCTGCACGTCCCACCTCCACGCTGGGCAGAGCCACGTCCACCTCTGGGCCGGTCACCTGGCCCTTGGGGGTCTTCACGTCCAATTTGGGCCCCTTGAGGTCCACCTGGGGGCCCTTGATGTCCATCTTGGGTGCCTTGATGTCCACCTGAGGGCCCTTGATGTCCATCTGGGGGCCCTTGATGTCCACCTTGGGCATCTTGATGCTGAGCATCTGCACCTTGGGCAGGTGGCCCTTGAACCTGGCGCCGTCTGCTTTGCCCTTCAGGTCGCCCAGGGCCACCTCTCCCTCGGGCAGGGCCACCTCCACCTCTGCCCCTGGCAGCTCCATCTCAGCAGAGGGAAGCTGGATGCCCCCCCTCTGGGGGCCCGCAGGTCAACGCCCACCGAGGGCAGGCTCACCTCCCCAGTGGCCTTGGGCATGGTCACGCCCACGGAGGTGCCCAGATCCTTGCCGGGCCCCCGACACGCCGAAGGACGGCATCTTGAACTTGGGCATCTTGAACTTGCTGGCCCCCTCCTTGTCACCCAGGCCGAGGTCGCCCTCCAGCCTGACGCCGGGCGCCTGCACGTCCACCTCCACGCTGGGCAGAGCCACGTCCACCTCTGGGCCGGTCACTTGGCCTTTGGGGGTCTTCACATCCAGCTTAGGCCCCTTGAGGTCCACCTGGGGGCCCTTGATATCCAGCTTGGGTGCCTTGATGTCCACCTGAGGGCCCTTGATGTCCATCTGGGGGGCCCTTGATGTCCACCTTGGGCATCTTGATGCTGGGCATCTGCATCTTGGGCAGGTGGCCCTTGATCTTGGCACCATCTGCTTTGCCCTTCAGGTCGCCCAGGGCCACCTCTCGCTCGGACAGGGCCACCTCCACCTCTGCCCCTGGCAGCTCCACCTCAGCAGAGGGCAGCTGGATGCCTCCCTCTGGGGCCCGCAGGTCAACGCCCACCGAGGGCAGGCTCACCTCCCCAGTGGCCTTGGGCATGGTCACGTCCACGGAGGTGCCCAGATCCTTGCCGGGCCCCCGACACGCCGAAGGACGGCATCTTGAACTTGGGCATCTTGAACTTGCTGGCCCCCTCCTTGTCACCCAGGCCGAGGTCACCCTCCAGCCTGGCGCCGGGCGCCTGCACGTCCACCTCCACGCTGGGGACAGCCACGTCCACCTCAGGGCCGGTCACGTGGCCCTTGGGGGTCTTCACGTCCAATTTGGGCCCCTTGAGGTCCATCTGGGGGCCCTTGATGTCCAGCTTGGGTGCCTTGATGTCCACCTGAGGGCCCTTGATGTCCATCTGGGGGCCCTTGATGTCCACCTTGGGCATCTTGATGCTGGGCATCTGCACCTTGGGCAGGTGGCCCTTGAACCTGGCGCCGTCTGCTTTGCCCTTCAGGTCGCCCAGGGCCACCTCTCCCTCGGGCAGGGCCACCTCCACCTCTGCCCCTGGCAGCTCCACCTCAGCAGAGGGAAGCTGGATGCCCCCCTCTGGGGCCCGCAGGTCAACGCCCACCGAGGGCAGGCTCACCTCCCCAGTGGCCTTGGGCATGGTCACGTCCACGGAGGTGCCCAGATCCTTGCCGGGCCCCGACACGCCGAAGGACAGCATCTTGAACTTGGGCATCTTGAACTTGCTGGCCCCCTCCTTGTCACCCAGGCCGAGGTCGCCCTCCAGCCTGGTGCCGGGCGCCTGCACGTCCACCTCCACGCTGGGGACAGCCACGTCCACCTCAGGGCCGGTCACCTGGCCCTTGGGGGTCTTCACGTCCAATTTGGGCCCCTTGAGGTCCACCTGGGGGCCCTTGATGTCCAGCTTGGGTGCCTTGATGTCCACCTGAGGGCCCTTGATGTCCATCTGGGGGCCCTTGATGTCCACCTTGGGCATCTTGATGCTGGGCATCTGCACCTTGGGCAGGTGGCCCTTGAACCTGGCGCCGTCTGCTTTGCCCTTCAGGTCGCCCAGGGCCACCTCTCCCTCGGGCAGGGCCACCTCCACCTCTGCCCCTGGCAGCTCCACCTCAGCAGAGGGAAGCTGGATGCCCCCCCTCTGGGGGCCCGCGAGGTCAACGCCCACCGAGGGCAGGCTCACCTCCCCAGTGGCCTTGGGCATGGTCACGTCCACGGAGGTGCCCAGATCCTTGCCGGGTCCCGACACGCCGAAGGACGGCATCTTGAACTTGGGCATCTTGAACTTGCTGGCCCCCTCCTTGTCACCCAGGCCGAGGTCGCCCTCCAGCCTGGCGCCGGGCGCCTGCACGTCCACCTCCACGCTGGGGACAGCCACGTCCACCTCAGGGCCGGTCACCTGGCCCTTGGGGGTCTTCACGTCCAATTTGGGCCCCTTGAGGTCCACCTGGGGGCCCTTCATGTCCACCTGGGGGCCCTTGATGTCCATCTGGGGGCCCTTGAAATCTACTTTGGGCATCTTGATGCTGGGCATCTGCACCTTGGGCATGTGGGCCACGGGCAGCTTCTCGCCCAGCTCGCCTGTCTTCATGTGCACGTCGGCGGAGGCCAGCTCTCGGCTGATGACACTGGTCTTCACCTCGGCCTGCACGGAGGGCAGGGACACGTCCGCCGAGGCCTGTACGGGCTTGCCGGAGGCCGACACTCCGAAGGACGGCATCTTGAACTTGGGCATCTTGAACCTGGTGTCCCGGGCTGCCAACTCTGTGTCCCGACGTCTCACGTCGCCCTGCAGTGTTCCTTGTGGTTCCTTTCCGGTCATTTTTTTTCGGCCTTTTCTGAGTGCTCTGGTATCTTCTCCATCGCTCCCCTCTGCATCCTTCTGCAATTTGATAACGGTGAGATGTGTGGACCCGTGCGTCTGTGTCTTCTCCTGTCCCTCCTCCTTTCACCTCCCTGGCCTTACGTGTGGTCCACCCCGTGAACGGCCGTCCTTGGACCTGTCTGATGTTCCTTTCGCTCCCTCCCGTCGCTGCCCCTGTGTGCTCCCTCTTTTCTCCTTCCCCCCTGGTCCTGTCCGACCCCACTCTCCTCTTACTTTCTCCTGGGTGCTGGAGACCCTTCCGTGACCCTGCCCCTCCGTGTCTGTGGGCCCTGTTCTCCAGGGCTCTGTGGCCTGCCCAAGGGCCACCCCTCCTCCTGCCGTCCCCAGCAGAGTTTCTTTGGAAACGGTCAAGTTGTGTGTCTTCACGTTGGGCATTCGGAGGTGGGCCTCAGCCGGCCGGCCCTGTGTGCGGCCTTCCTCTGCAGCCTCTTGCAGGCGCCACCTTCCACCCCCGTTTTCCACCCTTGTCCCGGCTCCCTCCTTGTGGCTCTCCATGCCCTGTCGGGGGCTTGTGCCTGTTTGGGTTTCCCTTGCGGCACAGGCTCCTCGGGGACGTTTACCTCCTGTGACAATTCTTGGCCTCTGGGGTTTATGCCAGCCCCACAGCCCAGGGCCCTCTGTCCGCTCTGCAGGTGGCTGCCTGGGGAGGGCATGTCCCCTCCCGGGCGTCTTCCCACCTTGGCCGCTCCCCTGCCGCAGGCAACAGCCCTCGGTCCCGTGGGGTGTCATCCCAGGACCCTGCCCCCTCCAGGTCCCGGGCCTGCACAGCCCTGCCCTGGCCCCTCCATCCGATGCCCCACCCACGACGGCCCCACCTCCGGGCCCACCTTGAACTGCAGGTTCAGGAGCCTCCTCCTCCGCTGGCCACCGGGCCCTGCGCGGGGCTCCCGCTCCTCTGCCAGGAACTGGGCCTCCGCGTCTGAGCTCGTGGGGGACACGTCCAGGGCCTGGCCCCTCTCGCCGGCCTCCGAGGAGCTGCGTGACCTCCGGGGCCCTCGCTTGGTCTTTATGGCTTGGAACTTGGGCCAAGAGAGCCTGTCCCCCCGGGGACGCCGGCCTCGGCCCTCTCTGGGCCGGGAGATGAGCCTCTCCTGGTCTCCTTCTGCGTCCAGCGACCGCACGGGAGTGTCCGTGCTCCCGTAGGCCTCGCCCACGTCCTGAAACACAGGGAGAGGGTGCCTGTAGCCGCGAGCACGCGGCGTCCGAGGCCCGGGCGTGGGGACACCCTGGCCCGGGCCCAGGGGCCGCCGCGGCGGTGGCCGCACCTGCTTCTCCGTGCGCTCCGGGGCGACCTGGGTGGCGCTGTGAGCCCGCTCGCCATCCCCGCCGGCGGGAAGTGGCCGCTTGATCCTGAGCTGGACCTTGTACGGCTCCGAGTACTGGAGGATTTTGAGCGCGTCCTCATAGCTGATGTTGTCGAAGAAGATGGTGGCGCTGAGCAGCTGGTCCCCTGGACAAGCACGGAGTGGGCACGGCCTCAGCTCCCCAGGCCCGCTCCCGAGGAGGAGGGCCCTGCGGGGGTGCGTGTGTGGGGGGAGCCCGACTCACCACTGCCCAGCCCTCCCCGCCACAGAGCCCAGGCGGGGCCGGCCACCCCCGCGCCACCACAGGGCAGGCGCTCCGCCCTGGGACAGGGACCATGGGGACCGGGGGCCGGGGGGCCCAGGGCCGGGGCGGCTGTGGCACCTTCTCTCAGGCTGAAGAGCCTGGCGGCCGAGGAGCCCTGCAGCACCTGCTTCACAAAGATGCCCTGTTCCCCGCCGCCCGTGACGCTGTAGCCGCTGACTCCAGCCTCCGCCTCAGTCTCCAGCGTCACCTCCGTCGCCTCCTGCGCGGACAAGGCAGAAGCGTGCCGGGGCCGCGGTTGAGCTCAGTGCCGGGGCCCCCTCCCCCGAGGACAGAGACCCCAGGTCCTGCCTGTCACCCAGCAGCAGAGGGCGAGGGGAGGGCCCCACCAGGCAGGCCGGGAAGGCAGCAACACCCGCTGCACCTGCGGGGGGAACGGCCTTTTCCCGTCTCCGCCCCCACCTGCCCGGACTTGGGGGCAGCCCGTCCGCAGCCATGCAGACCCGGAGGGCTCGGCCAGCAAGGGGGAGAGGTCTCTGCTCCCCGGGACCCGGGCCTTCCTCCGTCTCCCTCTGCTCACTCTCCAGCGCTGCAAGCTCCGCTGGCCCACGAGGCAGCTGCTGCTCGAGCCACGCAGGGTCACCAGTGCCGAGGGAAACGCCGCCGGCCTGACCTGGGGCATGGCGGGGCCCTGGCGGCCGGCAGAGCTGGACCCTTGCCGAGCCGCTGACCACAGAATGGGCCTCAGGGGGCAGTGTCCCCGCCTCACCGGAAGCCACAGACCTGGGCGCCGTCTGGGCCCGCCTGGTCACCCGTGTGTAGCCAGGTCTGTGCACCGAGGTCCTCTGGCTGGAGTCCAGCCCTTCACCGCAGGGCGCTGGGCCGTGGGGAGGCCTGGGCTGGCCTTCGGAAGCCCTTGAGCCCCAGGCCTGACGAGGGGACAGGGGCCGGGCACAGGGCACAGGAGCACGCCGCCATCCCCCCTGCCCCTCCTTCCCGCCCTGCTGCAGCCCCTGTTGCGGGGCCCAGCCCCGCCCCCGCATTCCCGCCTTGCCCACCTCTGCACGACTCATCTTGGAAAGTGTCCGGGAGTCCCCGGAATCCCGCTTCCACCAGGACCGCCGTCGCCCCGAGGGGGCTCGCCTGCTGGGTGTGTCTTCCTACAGCCACAGACACCAAGGGTGACCCGCCTGCCCCAGCCCCGCCCCGCTGTGGGGACGCTGTCTGCACCCCCCGTCCGGAGCCAGCACGCCCCTCCCCACAGGTGGGCCCACGAACACACACTCCAGGTGGGGGGGGGGCCGGAGAGGAGGGCCCGTCGGGCACCGCTGTGGCCCGCGGGCTGCGCAGACAGGCGGAGAACTGCCCGCACAGGGCAGTGCAGCGGGAGAGGCGTCCCCTTGGGGCCCCACACCCACGCCTGCCCTGCGCCCGTGGGCCTCTGTCCAGCAGGCTCACCGGGCGTCCGAACTCCTCCGTCGAGCATTCGTAGACGGGCGAGGACCCCTGTGGCCGAGGCCGAATGATCTCGTCCACGGGCCCCTCGGTCACCTGGCAGGAGGAGAGAACCGGGTGACCCTCGGCCTCACAGGGTGGGCCCGGGCCCGGGGGAGGGGTGGGGTTCGAGGAGGCCTCGCCCCCTGGGCTCACTCACAGAGGGGTCCTCCTCCGGGTCCGTGTCTGGCAATCCAGGCTGCAGCTGGCGGCCGGACACTGTGGAGAGAGAGGCAGAGTCAGGGCTGCCCCGCAGGTCGGTGGGCCTGAGAGCGGGGGCCCAGGGGGCCCAGAGGCCGTGGGAGCAGGGTCACCTCGCCTGGCCGCTGAGCCTGAGGCCGCCTGCAGGGTGGACCCACAGCCGCTGGGCGGGAGGCTGTGGCCTCAGGTCAGAGGGCTGCGAGCCGGGGCGGGGCCGCTCAGACCGAGGGGCAGCCTCCGCGGACGTAGTCCCAGGAAGGCGCCAAAGGCAGCGCGGCGACGATCGGCCCGAGGGGACTCCGAGTCCAGAGCGGCTGCAGCACGGAGCCCGTGACGTCCCGAACTCGGCAGACGGGACGTCCGGGACGCCCAGAGACACGGGAGGGCGGGGCCGCGCCGAGGAGCAGCTTGGGACCGGGCCCGTCTCTGAACACCCGCCGATGGGGCGTTTAGGAGGGGCCCCGCGGCGACTGTCGAAAACTGGTCCCAGAGCTAAAGCGAACCACGTTTAGAGGATGGCTGGAAAAGGCGCGGCACCGAGGAAGGAAGACGGTCACAAGGAAATACGTCGTAGTTTTTAAAGACCGCAAGCCGGAGTGCAGGAGCAGAAAACACACTGCGGGGGGCGGGGGGGGGGGCGGAGCTTAGCGGCAGAACCGGGACAGACGCGAGGAGAAAGGAGAAGAACGCCGGCTGGTGAGCAGCGCGAACCCACTGGGAGGACGGGGGAAAACGGGCCGGACGCCTGCGGGGCGCCGGCTCTGCGTGTGCGCGTGTGCAAGTGTGTGTGTGTGCGCATGTGTGCGCGCGTGTGCGTGCACGGGTGTGTGTGCATGTGTGTGTGCGTGTGTGTGTGTGCATGTGCGTGTGGAGCGGAGGTCCCGCAGGGGAGGGGGGAGGGCGGAGGCGCGTCTGAAGCGTCTGAAGACGTGATGGCTGAGAAAGCTGCAGAACCACGGAGCTCAGCGAACCGCACGAGGACAGGCCCCGCGACATGCGGGCCAGGCCCAGCTCAGCCGAGCACTTGAGAGACGGAGGGGACGGCGGAAGCCACCGGAAGGAAATAACTGGGCCACAGCATCAGGGCACGAGGACCATGGGAAGCTGACACCCTGGAGCCGGAGGACAGTGGGAGGAAAACGCCGTGACCAAGGATTCTGTGTGCGGCGAACCGTCCTTCAAAACTGAAGGCGAGCCCTGGCTGGCGTAGCTCAGTGGATTGAGCGCGGGCTGCAAACCAAAGCATCGCAGGTTTGGTTCCCAGTCAGAGTGCATGCCTGGGTTGCAGGCCATGACCCCCAGCAACCACACATTGGTGTTTCTCTCTCTCTCTCTTTCTCCCTCCCTTCCCTCTCTAAAAATAAATAAGTAAAATCTTTAAAAAATTAAAAAAAGGATAGTTGATCCTAAAAAAAAAAACAAAACTGAAGGCGAAGGCAGAGGAGCCAGCAGACAGAGCGGCCCTGGGGGCCTGGGGGGCGGCCCGGCCAGGAACGCCGCGGCAAAGGGGCGGGCCCCACGCGCCGGCTCAGGCCCGCCGGCGGAAGCAGAGCGTGGCGAGAGCTGTCCGCGTGGCCTCCACAGAAACACAGCTTTCCACACTCAGTCTCCGAACCTCCTCGAGAGACACGAGACCCTGCGGGGGGGGCGGGGGGCTGGCTCGCTCCTCGCGAGAACGGCCGGGCATCCCAGGCTGGGCAGGCGGTGGTCGCCGTCACGGTGCTCGGCCGCGGCAGGGCGGCCGCTGCGGACGACACACGTGTGAGGGAAAGTGGCCGCGCCCCAACGACGCTGTGACCATGGAACACACGCAGGCCGACGCCCACCAGCTGCCCGGGTGAGGCGGGGATCGGGACGCCGTGGCGCTGGCGTCCCGACGTGCGGGGCGTGGCGGCTGTGGCCGTCCAGCGGAAAGGACACGGGTGTGTCGGGCCCAAGCTCCCCAGTGTTACCAGAGTTAGGCAGGCGCTGCCTCGGGTGGGGGGCCTGGGACCACCACCAGGCGGCACCCGCACTGCACACCAGGCGGGCCGACCGGCAGGTGCCTGCTCTTGGTGACCTCCAGCACACCCCTGAGTCTGCGGACACCTGCTCGCAGGGTCCAGGTGCGCCGCAGGGAAGCCGGAGGAACGGATCGGCAGGTCCGCAGCCCCAGCGGCAGGCGCACCGCCGCACGGTGACCGTGGCCTCACAGAACCGGGCAGGCGAGAGTGCGCAGCCTGCCACCGGCCAGCAAGCTGCCACAGACCACGCTGCCTGGCGTGGCCAGACCCACGGCCCTCCTGAGTGCACCGAGGCCGTCACCGAGGCGGACCACACGCTGGTGCCTTTCAAACGCCTCCGTGGTCGTGGGGTAGTGTAAGTGACACTCGGCGTCTTCTCCGACTCCCCGTGGGGCTGAGGCACGCGTATAAACGGGAATATGGGGACAGAAAGCCCAGAACGGTCCCCGCTCCACGCGCCCACTCGGCTCCGACAAGGCAGCCAAGTTATTGCAAAAGGAGGACACTACATCTTCCCACAACGGTTCTGGGTGGGCTGGCTGTTTCTCTGTGGGTGGTGGGGGCGGGGGCACCCGGAACGTCACCCCGCACATAGAAACTAACTCAGGGTGAGTCACAGAGCCGCCGGGTGTGAAACCTGAACTCTAAAACCAGAAGAAAACACGGGAGAGATTCCTTGCCACTCGGACGAGGCAGAGCTCTTTGAGGCAGCATGCAGAAGGTGTGAGTCACAGAAGAAAATGTGGTAAGTTATATTTCATCCCAATTAAATACCTGTGGTCTGGAGTGGCATTCTTTTCTAAAAAATTTCTATTGATTGATTGACTTCAGAGAGAGGGCGAGGGAGAAACATGGATTGGCTGCCCCACCCAGGCACTGATGGGCTGATGCCCGGATGTGTCCTGACCAGGGGTTGGACCCGCAGCCTTGGGAGGACGCTCTAACCAGCTGAGCCGCCCCGCGGGGTGGAAAGGCACTCTGAAGGAAATGAAAGGTAACCGATGTATCTGTCCAAGGGCCTGCAGCCAGAAAGACAGCTCAGTAGAAAAAGACAAAACCCACAATTAAAAATGGGCAGGAGCTTGGAGCAAACAGGTCCGGAAAGCTGTTTGCAAACAGGTCTCGATAAGCGCAGGAAAAGACGCAGGAAAAGACGGCGGGCGCCCTCAGGCAAACGGGAACAGAGACAGAAAACCAAGGGGACCGAGCAAAGGTCCCAGAAGCGCGCTCAGTCAGACGCCAGCTCCAGCAGACCAAGGTCCTGCTGCTGGGCCCCTGTCTCCACATTAAAAAACGTCCCTGTCGGCCCCCCCTCGGCCCCGAGAGGGCGCGTTCCCTGTGGGCCAGAGAGCCGCAGCCGATGGCATAACAATCGGGCTTCCAGGAGACACACGGAACAATTCTCCCCCGGGACAGGAGAAGCGCCGAGAGGAGCCGGCGGAGGACGTGACGGTGCAGAGGCTACGGCGATGGAGCACGTCAAGTCCCACCGCGGGCCTGGCGGGGAGACGCGAGGCAGACACCGCATGACCTCCGACACGAGTGCGCAGAGAATCCTGCCCACCGAAAGCAGAAGACGGGCAACCCGACTGCAGAATGGGCAGGGAAGCTTCCGAAAAGCAACTAACTCGCAAGAAAGCCCCAACCAGCCCGCCAGCTAACCCAGAGGGGCGTGCGGCCCCTCCGCCAGTGGCGGCCCGGCAGCCCTGCCCCGCCCCGCCCCGCCCCGCCCCGCGCTTTGCCAGGGCCCGTTGCGTCTCAGCGCAGCCCGCCTGCGGCCCCGCAGCGCCACACCCGGCTTCGCAGGAAGTCAGGCGGGCGATCGCCGTGGGATGGGCGCACAAATGCCCTCCTAGCACCATTTCAGAGCCCAGAAGGCTCAGCTGTCCGTCACGGCTGGAACGAGAACACAGCCGGGTGCTCGTCCTGTGGCACCGCGCAGGGCGAGGCGCGTGAACGCACGCGTCCCCAGGCAGCGCCGGCGCAGGAGCGGGCGGGGGAGGGGCCCTGGCGGCGAGGGTCTACCTGCCAATCCCGGCGCTTGCTTCACTGGTGTGTACACTTTGGGGAAATGCTACACACTTAGGGTTTGTGCCCTTTTCCAAGGGAAAAAAATCAATCCTACATAAAATTGAAATGAGGAAATCATAAACGCTGTGCCGATAAATCTGAACACTCAGAAAGATTGGATATATTCCTAGGGAAACACCCTGCCAGCCCAGCAGGAAAAACAATCGGAGTGGCTCTGTGCAACCCAACAATCAAACCCTTTATCTGCAACCTTCCGCGCGCCGCGCGGTGCCCAGCCCCGCCCTGAACCGCTGGGATCCCTCTCCAGCCCCAGGACCGCCCCCTGCTGGTGACTCCTGGGCTCGGGCTCAGGGGCTGTGCACGGCTGTCCCCAGGCAGCAGACAGGGCCCCCCAGCCCTGGGCAGTGGAGCCAGCCGGACCCTGATTCGGCCCGAGGAAGGGAGAGGCGGAGACTAGAGCCTGTCCCTGCGGAGTCATCTCCCACCCTGGCGCTGGGTCCCACTCTCCCTGGCCGTGGTTTCCCTTCCCCTTCCGCCCAGACCCTCGCCCCCTCCCCAAAGCGCGTAGGGCACTGTGCGTAGGCAATGAGGCAAGTGAGGCTGGCAGAGGGGCAGCCGCGTGCCCAGGGGGGCCAGGCTGGGCCAGGGCAGCGGAGGGTCTGGCCGGCCTGGGGTGCAGGCAGCCCCCACAGAGGAGTGGGAGGTCTGGAAGCTCCTGGCCACCCAGAAACCCAGCCTCCCCTCCCTTGGCCTCCGCAGTGAGACTCTGAGTCAGACAACAAAACAAGGTCCAGTGGCCGCCCTCCTGGGCGGGTGGGCGGGCAGGCAGGCATGGCCCCACGGGGGCGGCATCGGCACAGGGCGGAGGGGCTCTGGGACCCCGGGCAGGGGGAGGCCGGGCCAGCAAGCGGGGTTTCCAGCCGGGTGCTGGGGAGGCTGCGTTTCCAGGGGCAATGTGGAGGAAGGGCCCCCAGCCAGGCAGGGACCCCAGGCCCCGAGAAGCCCTACCCCCAGCCTGCTCCAGGGAGTCTCGTGGGCGACCGGGGCGGGTGAGGGAGGTGGGGCGTGCCCAGGCTGGGAACCTGCAGCAGGGGGAGCTCGGCTGCCCGTGCAGGCTGGCCCACTGGCCCGGCCGCCCCCTCAGCGGGCCGAGCCCACCGCCGCGGGGAGGAAGAGCAGGCGGGGGGAGACCGTGGCCCTGGGAAGTCGCCTTAGGCTCTGGGTCCCCCGTGCTCCCATGGGAGAGCCCCGGCCTGGCCAGGGGCACACAAACAGGAAGAAGGAAACCGTGCCGACCGGGCAAGGCTGCTGGGCCGGCTCCAACCTGGCCCCCGGGGCGGGGACAAGGAGGCATCCGGGACCCTCAGAGCATCTTGCTGCCAGTGCCCTGTCCTGAGGGGGCCGCCCCTCAGTCCCCAGTGCAGGGGAGGCGTCCCGTCGGCCGGCCTGGCCTGGCCCAGTCCCCATGGCCCATGGCCCTACAGATAGGCTCCGTAGACAGCCCGGCCCCAGCGCTCACCCCAGACAACAAGTAATGACCAGCTCACCAAAGCCCCAGATTTCAGAGGAGGACGGGGGGGGGGGGGGGCGGCGGCACGCTGAGCCAGGTTCCAAAGGCCGTTCCCTCTTCCCCTTGGCTCAGGGCCCAGCCCCAACCCCGGTCCTCTGTGGCCTCACGCAGCAGCTGGCCGGGCCGCAGACCCTGGGGAAGGAGGAGCTGGCCACTAGGGAGAATGGGAGGGGGGCGCTGCTTCAGCCAGAACGTTGCGTTCCCAGGAACGGGAGTCTTCTGGGGGCGAGGGGCCAGAGCCGAGGCATGCGGGGACCAGGGGAAGGGGACACAGGACGACTTGCCCATAGGGCTCCAGACCCAGCTAGGGACCCCGCCAGCATCAGCACCAGCCACGTGGGACTTCTGTTGCGGGGGAGGGGGGCAATTTTGCTTAAACAAAAACCAACTTTGCATCTGAACAGCCACCCCTGGAGTCCAGCACCTGCCTGCAGGTAGACCCAGGTGTGGCTAGCGCCTTGAGGTTGAATGCATTTGCATGTCCCCAGGGCTTGTCCCCAGGGCATGTCACCAGGGCAGCCGTGGGACTGGGGACCGAGAGACTGGCCTGGAGAAAAAATGCCTCAGTGGGGTGGGGGGGGGGTGCCCAGATGGCGGCCTGAGAGGCCCAAAGGGTGTGCAGGGACAAGTGTGGCTGGGCCTGGCACCCAGCACCCAGGGGGCCAGGCAGTGGGAGAGGGGAGCCCTGGGGCAGGCTCACCCTTGGGACACCGCTCTCAGGCTCCCGGCCCAGACCCAGGCCTCACCTCCTCCTGGAACCCAACAGGGAAAGGCTGGGCTGACTCGTCATGAGACGGTCTGACTTCCAGAAGTGGCGGCAGCCGGCAGCCAGCCCAGGGCCCGCCCACCCCTCCGGAGGTTGCTGCTGCGTCTCAGGGTAGCTGGTGGGAGGCCACCAGGCTCCTGCTGAGCCTCCAAGGCTCCCGGGCTCCAGAGGGCAGGCACCCAGCCTGGGCCCCCCAGATCTGGGTCGAGGGTTCCGCACCCACCCGCAGCCCTCCCAGGCCACCCTCTCCGCAGCGCCCCTGCAAAGCCCCCTGCTGCCGCCTGGTGGTCAGCGTGGTTTGGGGCCTCCCCAAGTCTGGCCGAGCTACCTCGGCAGCCCTCACCGCTGCAGCCCCAGCCTGGGCCCCCCAACTCTGCAATTCTCATTTGCCAGTCCCTCCGCCAACTCACAGACCCACCTGGCCACCCTGCCATCGCCCTGGCCACTGCCTGCCATCACCCTGGCCCTGGAGCACGGCGCTCACCCAGCACCCAGCACACAGACCTCAGCACAGAGCAGGTGCACACAGGAAGGAAAGGAGCGGGGCAGATCTCCCGGAAGGAGGCCAGGCTGCCCGGCCTGCAGGTGCGGCCAAATCCCGAGTGCTGAGGGGGGCGGCAGGTGGGCCCAGTGCCCCTCCTGCAGCACCTGGAGAAACTGAGGCACGGGACACACCAGCCTACCAACTCCCAGGGGCCCAGCGGCCAAAAGGAGCAGCTCCACGCTCCTGTCCAGCCAGATGGGACCAGCGTGACCCCTGGGGGGTTGGCTGGCCACTGCAGGCCCCACAACCCACCTGGCACCCGCAGGTGAGTAGGTCTGGGCTGGCTCGAATGGCCCCCACACCCCCAGGGCCTCCAGCATACCACACGAGGGCCATCATCTGAGGAGCCCCCTCCAGGTCACATGGTCCAGCCTTAGGCATACCCGTCCTGGGCTGCTGACCTCGCACATCTGCCCCTCCAACCTCAGCGGGGGGCTGGGGCAGGGCAGAGAGGCAGGGGGATGCCGAGTCCAGCCGTGCCTGCTGGCCCCCGAGGCCTCCACACAGCCCCCACAGGTCTGCGGGGCCCAGGGCTGAGCCAGGGCGGGGGCGGGGGCTGGGGCAGGGGGCAGGGGTGGGCCCAGCAGACGGCCGCAGCCGCTTACCGAGGCCAGCGTCCTCCCAACTTGCCCGGCAGTGATGGTCCCGGGCTGCAGGCTCCCCAGACACCCTCCCGGGCGCCTCCCTTCGCTGCCCCACCCTCGGGCCTCCTTCCAGGCTGGCCCCAGCCCACGGCAGGGAGTGGGCTGCCCTCTCCTAGCCAAGGGATCCAAGCCTCTCCCCCACTGTTTCTGTGAGCCTGGGCCCGCCCCTCCCCTGGAGCCAGCCCCCTCCCCCATCCTGAGCAGCTGACTGGGGGAAGGAAACAGGGCCCAGCACGGGGCACGTCTGAGTCACTGCCACCCACGGGGCCCCGCCCAGTCTGGTCCTGCCCAGCGCGGTCCGGTCCAGTCCGGTCCAGTCCTGCCTTGTGTGCAGACTCATAGGTCAGACAGGACCCCCCAGGGAGGCTGCACACGAGCCCCCTGCCTCAGTCTCCCTGTGGGTGCCCGGTGGGGGACCTCACACAGGCACAGAACCCCGCTTTCCCTGGGACCGCAGGGCGAGAGGGCTGCCCACCAAGGCCCAGCAGGTCTGGACTGAGCCTGTGCACGGGACCTCGGGGGAGTGCCCTTGGCCACCACCTGCCTGCCTGACCCCTGCAGCTCCCTCAGCCCCAGCGCGGCAGCCCCTCCCACTCAAAGCGCGGCATCGGTGGCCCTGAGATCCAGAGTGTTCAACTTGCCATCTGCATGCAAGTAGTGGCCGAGGAACACGCCCCTGAGTCTGAAGACCCCCAGTCCTGGGCTCCCCAGGGCTCGGCCCGCCTGGCCTGCCTCTTCCTGTCACCGCCCCCTGCCATCCTCCAGGACTCAACCCCACCCCAGGCACGCAGGCCCCTCCCAAGTCTGGGAGCGCTGACAGGGCTGGGCAGGCCGGGGCTGGACGGGCAGGATGCCTGCAGTATGCATCTGCAGGATCCCAGGGCTGCCCCGCCCTGCACCCCGCAGCCCCGAGGGTGGGGCTCGGCTGGCGGCTGCACCTGCACCCCACAAGCAGGTTGCGGGCCCGGCCTGCGCAGCCGAGGGGCCCAGCCAGGGCTGGATGGCAGCGAGGGGAGGGCCTGGGCCGCACCTCTGCCTGCCACACCAGGCCAGGGTCAGCGACGGTCGCTGAGGGTGGGGGGGCTGCTGGGCAGCTGGGGTCAGCAGGCACCAAAGGGAGCTGCTGGGACTGGGCCCCCAGCCGGACACAAGAAGCCAGGAGCAGAGGGGGGTGGGTAAGTGGCAGGGAAGGGCCCCTGGCCACTCGGAGGGCTCCTGGCTAAAGCTCCAGCCCAGGGCAGGGGCACCCGTGGGCAGACAGGACCAGAAGTCCTGGAAGAAGGGCCGACAGAGGCCCCTTCTGGCCGCCCCCACCCCTAACAACCTGACGGTCACCACCACCTTTATTCACAGAGAGGGAGGGAAGCCCACCAAGCCTGCCCGCCCGTGACCACCCCCCACTCCCACGGCCCAGACAGCCCCCACCCGGACGGAGCCTTGTTCACAGCCTGGCGCCTCGCAGGACCAGCCCCACCCCCACCGCTGACTCAGCGAGGAGGCGGTTGGCCGGAGCAGTGTTGCCAGGCCTCCTCCTGGGCCCAGGTGTCCCGTGCCCTCTATGCTGCCCCCGTCTCCTGGACCCCAGCACCTCCTTGACCTCGGGCGCTGCTCCCCGGGAACAGTCTTGGCCAGAACCCCACCTCAGAAGCCAGACCACACCTGTGGCCGGGCGCCCGGTGCTCCCTCCGCCCCACGAAGGTCTCTCCTGACTTGGGCACGTCCACTCGCACTTGCTCTGCCCAGCGCGCCCTCCCAGCTCCGGGCCGGGACCCTCCCTGGGCCCCAGTGGCCCGCACCAGCAGCCCTGGCCCGGCGCTGGGTGCCCACGGCTCCCAGGCTGACGGAGGGGCGGGGATGCACAGACTGCCCGGGACACTGGGCAGAAAGGCAGGGTCAGGCTGGAAGCACAGGGCCCAGGGTCAGCACCACTGGGACCCTGTAGGGGCGCCAGCCAGGGGGCGGGGGGCGCCCCTCACACCTGGCCCCAGAGCTGGTTCCAGTCCTACAGGTGCACACCTGGCTCTGAGCAAGGCCCGCCCACCTGCTCAGCTCCCAGGGACCCCACCTGCCTGACCCCGGCTCCACGTGGCCAGGCCTGGGAGGCGGGCCGGTCCCGAGATGCCACTGTCCAGCCTGTGCCCACTGTGTCCACTCCCCGGGCAGCTGCAGCTCAGCGCCACCCAGCCCCCAGGCTCCCAAGTGGAGTCATGGGAGTTCCGCTGTGGGCAGGGGAGGGCAGGCACAGGGCAGCTGATAGTGAATCAGCTGGCAGGAGGGCCGGGCCTGAGCGTGGCATTCTCCGGGGATGTGTCACGAGGAGCCCTCGGGTGCTGGCGAGACCCAGGGGTGAGGCCTGCTGGGAAGGGGGCCGCCCCCGGGGTCCCACCCACAGCCAGGTGCCTGCCGGGGGCTGCCGTCCTTCCCCCACCCTCGAAGGCGGGGCCCAGGGGCCGTGTGGGGGTGGGGCAGAGCACCCAGAGCCCCGTCTGGGCCCGACCTCGCCATTAGACAGCAGACCCTGGGCCTGAGCAGCCTGTCTGCCCATGGTGCCCATGCTGCCCATGCTGCCCAGGCTGCCCAGGCTGCCCATGGTGCCCAGGCTGCCCAGGCTGCCCAGGCTGCCCAGGCGAGAGCCTCACCAGGGTCCCGTCCCCAGCCCACTCCTTTCTGAGCTCGGCTGCGGGGCGGACACCAACCTCTGGCACCGTGTCCAAGCAGGAATACGGCTGGCAGAGCCTCCCCAGGACTCAGCAGCTCTGCCGTCACCCCTGGGTGATGGGCCTGCCCAAGGCTGCTCCTCACAGACTCTCGGGGTCAGCAGGGTCTCCTGTGGCTCCCCCCAGGGCAGTGGAGAGGCCGGCACTGGGGAGGTGCCAGCTCCCACCCCACCCCACCCCACCTTCCTGCTCCTGGGCCCAGGTCCATTTTTCCACTTTCAAAATGCTTCTGACGATTAAATATGCATCCCAGCAAAGCAGGCCTTTGGCTCTCAGCCTCTGTGGCTTCCAAAAAAAAAAAAAAAAAGAAAGAAAGAAAAACAAAGGGAAGCCTGGAGGGGTGGGCAGGGCCGAGCAGAGATGCCCCAAAGGCTCTGACCTGACCCTTGGCCAAAATTCCCATTGGCCTTGCAGTGGGGAGGGGGTTCACGGGGTGGAGGGGCCACTCTCACCACGTCCACACCCAGCCCCTCCGGGCTCACCCCAGCTCCCTGCCCTCAGCCCTCAACTCTCTGTCTTCTCACCCAGCCTCAGCCTTTCCCACAGGACCCGCCCTGACACCCTTTGGAGCTTTCTCATGCCCCTAAAACAACCCTCCCTCCTGACAGCCTGTACCCTCCGCTCTCCACCCCCACCCCACCCCCACCCCACCTGGTTAGGCCACTTGCTGCCGCCCCGCGGACACCCTCCCCAGGCCTCTTGTAAGTGCAGCCATCCCCATCAGACAACCCTTCCTCCAGGGAGCCCTCCCTGACTCCTCCACACACCCGAGACTGCACTGGCCACCAAAGTTGATTGAAGCTGACTGACCACGGTGAACCCCTGCTCCCTGGGGCTTGACCTCTCAAGTCCCAGGCCCCTTGGGATTCAGACAGATGGCTGGAAGGGTAGGGGCCCCCCACATTAGCTCTGAGCTCAGGGTCGGCCTTCTCCTGGGCAGAGGGCCAAGCCGGGGAGATCTGGGGTTTTCACCCCTGAAGTGAAGGCAGGGCCCCCAGAGGGCCAGTGCCTCACCCCACCTGCCTGGGGGCCTCCTCCCTGGCACTTCCCCACCCCCGGGCTGAACCTGAAACACGGAGCTGGGAGGAGAGAGAGGGTCAGAGCCTGAGGAAGGGCTGGGGTGGGCCGCCACCAGGAGCCTTCCTGGAAGAGGCAGCTGCTGGCGGGGCGCAGGACCAAAGAGCTCGGGCCGAGGGAGACAAGGCTGCCAGGGCGCTCTTGCCGCAGGCCCACCCACAGCGGTCCCGGGTGCAGTGGGCACACGCTGCCTCTGTGCCTGGGGTGGGGGCTAGGGGCCTTGAGGCACTGGGCCCACCTATGCACTCCTGGGCCCCACCCCAGCACATGGGGCAGGAGCCCGGCTGCCCAGCACCAGTGTCCCCACCAGGGAAACACCTGGGGGTGCTGTCGGGAGCACAGGTGCCCTCTCCAGCAGTGGCTTTGAGAACCAACCTCATCAAGGTGTGGGAAGGGCTGGTACCAGGGCCAGGATGACCTCTGCTGCCTCCCGCTCCGCGCCCGCCCCAGCCAGGGACGCGGCAGGACTCTGCCTCACTGCTCCTGCGCACAGCGGCCCTGTCTACGGAGTGGGGACACAGCCCTGCGCTGGCGCGGCCGCACGGAGCCGGAGCCCGGCTGCACAGCTCTGCCTCCCTGCCCCAGCTCCGCGGTGGGCAGCGGTGGGCACTCCTGTTCACAGATGTGCGCTCCCGCCCACGTCCGCGCGCAGCCCAGCCCGGGCGCAGGGCTGTGCGGAGGCCGCCTGCCGGATTCAGAGGGCGGGGCATGGCAGCGCCCTCGGGAGGGGCCGCGGCACTCCCATAGCCACCCAGACCCGCTCTTGCGCGGCCGCACCACACATGGAGCCTCCCTGGCCCTGGTGTGCGTTTCTCAGCGTGGCCAGTGGTCTCAGGCCAAGCCAGGGGCTCTCAAGTGTAAGGCAGGGGCCAGGCCGGAGGTCAGGGGGCTCCCTGTCAGCCCAGCTGTACAGGCCCCGGTGTGCCTCTGGAAGCGACCAGTGGTCCCTGGGATAGGAAGGGCTGTGACAGCTGGGGCCCATCGCGGGGTGAAGTGGCTGGTTCCCGGCATGGGGGTAGTGCGCCCAGGTGGAGCTCCCTTCCTACACTGGAGTAGGGGATGGTCACCGGGGGGCACAGTGTGGGGTGGGGGAGGGGTGTGGAGCTGGCCTGGGCAGTGAGGCTGGGTGGATCCCTGCGCGGGCATGTTCCCTTCACGGCCACCAGGGGGCAGTCTCTGCACGCAGGCCAGACAGGCCCGCGCTGCCTCCCCAGGGCCTTGGGCAAGGGTGCAGACAGCCTCACCCTTGGGGTCTGGGAGGATGTGCATGGCTGGCTCAGCACAGCAGGCTTGGACTGGGTGGAAAGACAAGGGCACGTGGCCCTTCCGGGCCTGCCAGGAAGGAATTTTGGCTGGAGAGGCCGGGACTCTATCCCCAGGGCCCTTACTGGAAATGTGCGTTCCACCTCCTGTGAAGGGGTCAGGAATCTGTGTGCTGGACAGCACCCCTGCTCTGAGGCAGCAGGTGTCCCACTGCCACCCCATGGGAGTCACTGACCTCGGCCCCTAAGGGCAGATGGGCTTGTAGGCTGGACACAAGGAGGCCAGGGAACCGCCAAAGCCAAGCAGAGAACAAGGGCCTCACTCGTGGACAGGGACCCAGCACAGACTTCGGAGACAGAGGGCGAGGCCAGATGGTGGGTGAGATGGACCTTAGGGCCTGCAGCCTGGGGGACTCTCAGGCCCCCTCCCCTCTCCCTGCCATGTGGTGGATCCCTCAGTGTGGGCCAGGGCTAGCCACCGTCAGAGGAGGGAGCTGGGGGCCACCTGCCGACTGTGGCCATCATTCCCCCGTCGACTGTCCAGGGAAATCCAAGGCACCTTGGCTCCCAACGGGGTGTGGGAGGCCTGCACAGGAGGCCCCCTGGGCCTCAGTGCCCCCAGACAAACTGGGAACAGGAGGGGCGTGTCCAGGCCGAGGACCCCGCCCCTGTGCATCAGCAGCATCATTGTCATCATCGATCTGTTGTCCCCAAGGAGTGGGGTCCAGCCTGTGCCAATGCGGCTTGGCCCCAGCTCCCCAGCCGGCAGCTGGCCAGGTGTCCTGGGTGTGGCCAAGCTGCTGCATCACTGACCTGTATTACTGACCTGTGTCCCAGACCCCGTAGCGGAAGGACTGCACCTGCCCCACCCTGCCCTCGAAGATGCTGAGATACCCAGGCCCTGGAACCAGATGACAGAGCACCTGGTTCTCACCCTACGGCCAGAGGCACAGAGGGAGGCATACTGCCCCACGGACAACACCCGCCTTCCCTCGCCCAGCGCTGCGGCCTGAGCTCTGACCCCTCCCAGATCCCTCACCAAGCCCCAGACCTCAGGTCCCTTCCCGCCACAGCCACTACCTACTCAGTGTCCCAGACGCACTGTAGCCACACGGTGGGCCCAGACCAGCCCGGCCTGGCCACCCCAGACCAAGACCAGCAGCTCTAACTCCGCTCATCCCCAGAACGTGTCAGACAGCAGGCCTGGGGGCCCACGGCCCTCACACCCCACTCACACGTGCAGCCCTCCCCAGGCGGCCACCTCCATGGACAAGACAACTTCCCAGAGGGTTGCAGCAGGGGAACAGTGACAGAGAGGGAGGGACAGACGTGGACAGTGAGTGACAGGGAAAGAGGCAGGGAGCGACAGAGTGAGTAGCAGATATGAATCAGCGACCTGGAGAGACGAAATGAGGGATGGGAGGCCTAGGGACAAGGGCAGGTGAAAGGCGATTCGAGCAGGAGGAGGGAGGCAGAGACCCGAATAGCCCCGGAGGCACACAGACGCGCGCGACACTGCGGGCCGGTCCGCGCGAGGTACCCCCACCCCGGCCGGCATCGCAGCCCGGCGCGCTCCCCTGCACCAAGCCCACCCGCCCCAGGGGAGCGGGCTGCAGGCGGGGAGGACGCGCACCACTGCCGGGGGCTCCGGGCCAGGTGGGCAGCACCATGTGGAAGCAGTCGCACATTGTGGCGGCCGAGCGGTGCGGGCCGGCGGCGGCCCGTCGCTTCCAGTCGCTGGTCCCGCTCCGGCGCGCGGGCAGCCCGGCGCCACGCTGGTCCTCTGCTGCCCTGCGCTGCCGCTGAGGTCCAGCCTCGGACTGCGGACGGAGCCCGCGCCCAGCTACCAAGCCACCGCCCGGGCCCCGCCCAGGCCCGCCCAGGCCCGCCCAGCCCGCGCCCCGCCACTGCGGAGCGAGCGCGGGCGGCACCGCCAGCCTCATTCAGCCTATTGGCTGTCCCGCCCCAGGCCCCGCCCCCGATCGGCAGACCTAGCCCAAGACCCGCCTCCACCAGAGCGTCTTGCCAGGCCAGGCCCTGGCCGCGCTCTCCGGACACGCCCCCTAGGTTTGACCACCCCGCTTCGCAAGTCCCAGCTGCAGTCGCACCCCGCCCCGCCCCCTCTGCGGGCCAGCCCCGCCCCTCGTTGGCCCCGCCCAGCGCCACCCGCCCGCCCCGGCCCGGGCCCGGAGGGCAGACTTTGGATCCCTGCCAGGGAGGGGTCTCCAGGCTCTGCGCTGAGGCTTGAGGATGCGACCCGCGCCCGAGGTCTCACCTCCTAATCCGGAGACGGACACTGTTGTCACAAGCTGAGTGAGGGCGGCCAGCGGTTCAGTGGGGAAGGAGGCTGTGACTTGTGGTCTGACCTCTGACCCCTGCCCTGGGGGCTCCGGTCTGGAGGTGGGCAATCCCGGGTTGCACGGCACAGCCCTGGGGCGAGGGGCAGGTCCTGGAAGGCTGGGGCAGACTCTCCAGGGCAGGCAGTCCAGGCTACCGCCTCAGGAGACAGGAACAGCGCTCGGGACAGAGGCAAC